GACAGCCAGCTAGCTAACCACCAGGCCAATTGCCTCTTGATAAATAAGAATTCGGAACTTATATTTAAAGGTTAGGATTGCGCAATTTAAAAAAAGGTCAGAGGGCACAGTACATTTGCATGTATTTAAATAACAAAACAGAAATTTCAATATATTAAAAGCACAGAGAAAACACAAAATAGTCAGACCTTGCATGTATTTTATTTTAGTTCAAACATTTATTTGCAAACCTTCCATATGTACACTTCCAAATGGTCAGTTTTTATATCATGTACATGTCACTAAAAATTCAACTGTGTTGGTAAAAACTTGAATTCATAACTTGGAGAAAGATTCTGCTAGGATTGAAACGTCAGGTCCTCTGAATTTTTCAGTATAGAAAATATTTTATAGTTTTTGGTATCTTGCTATAAACATTAAAAGTTGTCAGCTTTTCTAGATGAGTGGGGGGTGATGTGAATCAGGGAATTCAGGCAGCATTCAATTCTTTTTTCCTCTTTCCATTACCATTGTACCACTAAGGTAGTGTTCAGTTCTTTTTCCTCTTTCCGTTACAATTGTGCCATTAAGGCAGTATTCAGTTCTTTTTTTCCCTTTAATCTTTCCATTACCGTTGCGTGATGTAGTAGGCTTCATGGAATGGTAATAGCGCCCTCTATGGTTGGTCAGCATTTTACAGCAAAGCCTCTGATGATGCAGTAAACACAACAGAAATTCCTCCTGCCAGGATTGCTAGGAGAAAACCAATCAATATCATCAAGTTCTGTCAATTTTATTCCAGTGTTAACCCAGAAGTTGCCAGGTTTTTTTGGTTGACCTGTTTCGGGAAAGTGGATGCTGCACAGAGAACATTATATGTGTGATTTTCACAGAACTGCTGTCAAAGTGACTGTAAAAAGCTGCTTTATGAAACCAAGGCTTGGCTCATAAAAAATGGAAGAGTATGGATGACCTCTTTCATGTGGCCAAGTGGTTAGGGTTTATGGTTTCCAATCAAAGGGTTGGAGGTTCAAATCCAGCTGCTGGCAGTATACTGTGGCCCTTGGCAAGCCACTTCACCCCTGCTTACCTCTCTCCACCCAGGAATATAAATGGGTACCAGCATTAGCTGGGGCAGCAACCTGCGATGGACTGGCATCCCATCCAGGGGGAAAAACAAATATTCTCTATTGTTTCATGCCAAGGAAACTGCAATGAACACAGGCCTGCAGCTGCAGCCAAATTGGCTCGGACCAGACTTGCTTTTTTTGCTTTTTCTTTCAGAAAAAAATGGGCGCTTGTAACGAGAAAGATGCATCATGTACATGTATGTGCAATTTTCACAGAATTGGTGTCAAAAAGACCACAAAAGACGGTTACTGAAAAACTCCTGAAGGCTTGACTACTGTCTGTGGCAATATCAGACAAAATTTTGAGGGGGCACATTCTATCTACTCTTGGTTCTTTTCGGGTCAAATGAACACACACAATAACTGCACAACAGTGATTGTTAAGCTGTCAAACCTGAAAGTGGCTTGGTTCAGGAATAACTTCCTACCTCCATGGTTCAGGTAATATCTTATGACCCCTATTGGCTTGAGTGTCTGTATTTGAAATCTTCAATATTGCCTTCTCGTTACTTTGTGCATGTGTCTGTGAAATCAACGTATGGCCTCAACATCATCTTCAATATTTGAAAAGACAACTTACAGCCACTGCAGAAGACAGACTTCTCCTGGATGGACAGCACATTCCTCCATTCTCACTACCATCTCTGCTTCTATCCTCTTGCCAACATGTGCCCTAAAAATAAAGAAAAAGTTAACTGGAATGGAGAAATAGAAAGGCCTCATTTCCATTAATTAATGTGAATGATTCCAAAGCCATTTTCATAATTAAAACAAGCACAATATATAACCCTAACTATTCAGGTTTGTATGGCTCGAAACCCTGCCAAACACACCAGTCTGCATTATTTGTCTAAGTAATTTGCTTGCCCAGTGTAACAAGATCCAACAGGTCAACTCTCCCCAAGGCTAAACAGTCCAGGAGTCTGTGGTTGCCAGTCACCACAAGATCCAACAGTGGCATTGTCCAATGAAACCAGCTCCCATTGTCTCAACATGGCCAGTTTGTCTGCTGTTGATTGCCCAGTGCATCATAGATTGACATGAAGGAATGTCGCGGTAAGTTTCCATGTGCCTGCGGAAGAAAGTCCAATGGGAACACGGCTATAGTGTGTCAGACTTTTACATCTGCTGCAGTATGCTGCATCTGGTGGGTTTAGGGTCAAGGTCAGTATTTGCAAAGTGATACATGCAGTTTTCACCATTTTTTTAAACTCTTCTTCTAAAGGTTATAGACTGCTGGCCCTCTTTGATTCCACAATCTGACCGTCTTATTCCTTAGACCTTCATCAATGTTCCAAGAGCAGATTTTACGACAATAAGGGGCTTTTTGTTCAGTGAAATTAAAATAATCATAAAATGATTTAATTCACCCATTTATAATGAAAAAATTTCTTTTTACACGACAGATATTCATTTTCATGCTCAAAGATTCAAAACTATGGCTTTCATCAGTAAATTTTGGGGGAAATTATACCCCAAGACAGGTTTACCGTTGGTTATGTTCTCAGCCAGAAAACAGTTGTCATCATGTCTACAAAGTGTATAACATCCAGCACTGTGCAGTCTCTTCAGTCTTTAATTTGGCTCTCTAAGACCAAAGAAATTAACACAGAATCGTACAGTTTTTGATGGCTGCAAGTGGGAACTTCAACTTCATTTTCAATAAGGAAAGATTTGCAGCTGAAGCAGATACATTATTAAATTTATGCCTTATCTTCCTGACCCTACTGGGGAGGGGAAAGGTTATCTCCCCCCCCCAACACAGTGACATAACACCTTCCATTGCTTTCCACCCCACGCAGCCCCCTCCCCTTTCAAAACTGTCTTCCCCTTTTTTTCTCTTTCAACACAGCTGCCTAATTGTGATCAAATCAGAAGAGTAAGCAGATGTCAATTACATGTATGTGTGCATGAGCATGATGTCATACCCAGACTAACATGTCTCCATCGTCCAGTCATCCATCTCTTACCCGATTGCCAGCTGCCAGGTGTGTATGCAGGTGTGGGGTCCAGCATCAAAGTGTGCCAATGCGTTGCAAGCCTATAGGTTGTTTTCGATTACAAGGCAGACCTGGAAAAATAGCGAGCCACCAAAATAAGAGAAACTCTAACTGAAGAATCACTGCCAAGTTGCAGGGAACTGAACCAATAGGGACTCACACATCAATACTACATGTATCAAAATAACTCAATGTCTCATTGAATGATGCACAACATCACTGTGCTATCTGTATACCCATTTGAATGAAAATTTCTGCAAAGGTAGGTCTTGTATGATATTTTGTCTGTAAGGCAGCATGGGTAAAAAAGAAATCAGAAAAAAAATTAAGTAATCAGCAAAAAGGAGGGCACACTAAACATTAGACTGTTAACATTTCAAATCATGGAAATGTAGTCAAATAGCTGTTTAACCAAGAAGCAAAGGTTACACACAGAAAATAAACGTAAGTTGCCATGATTGATTGGTTTAAGTTTGGTTTTTCTTCAGGTTGATGCATTTTGTACGAGTGGTCCTAAACTTTTGCAATGACTGTACTTGTATACTACATACTTTTAGAGGCATGAAAGTCTCAAGAGCTACTCCTATGTTAAAAAATTGATTCATTCAAACACATGATAGATGTTAGTTGACCGCACCTGATGTGGTGTTCAGTAATTAACGTTCTCAGAGATCACAACTGCTGGTGTCTGGAGTTGCACATGTTCACTGCCTATGAAAATCTTGGGCAAATCACAGTTGTAACAAAATTATGGTATCAAGATGACAAATAATTCATCAACTGGCATGATGGTCAGGAATTCACTATTTGGGCAAATTGGGTATAGTAAACTGCAATTATCAAAATCAAAAAGGCAATTGAGAAATACCTGTATATGGCTGATACCATTTACGGCCGGGGAGCTTTAATGTTTAAGCCTTCCTCCACTTGTTTCTAGCTTAGGAGTAGGGCCACGTATACGGAGGTATAGTCCATTAGCCTGGCCCTAATAAAGTCGAGTCTCAGACGTGCCACTCTTCGACGTTTCCTTGACTTTCCTCATGCATCACTGCCACACCTCTTTGCTGAAAAACTCTGAATTCATTTAAGGCTTACCTCATTCAAATTTAAATTTTTCGGTAAATGAAAATGTTCTGGTAATTGAAAGCCAAGGCTAACCCTTTCCAAATTCTTATTTTTTGCACAGAGGAAAATTTTCTAAAAGTTAATAAATATTGTATGAAAGGCTCACCCCCCAAAAATTTTAGTTTTTCACAAAAATGAAAATTTTCTGAAAATTAATAAATAACGAATGCAAGGCTATCCCCTTCATGTTTTTAATTGTTCACAAAATGAAATTTTTCTGAAAATGAAAAGAAATGCAAGGCTTACCCTTTACAAATAATTATTTTCCCAAACAATAGTTTTTAATTAAAATAACACGGTAAAATCCTTGCATCAGTTTTATTTAAAAATGCAACATTAACTTCCAAAGCAGTTGTTGCTGCTGTTTTTAATGCAAATTTTAAGGATAAACATCTTTAGGTTTTGCTGAAGCTATGTCCTTGCAATGTTAAGTCAACATTTTATTAAATTTACAAGAAATTTTTGTAGAATATAAAATTACCGAATCTTAAAAATGTACTGGCACATAAATGTTTCTTTGTGCAATCACCAACACCCACAGAGACTGTGTTGATAGTCGTTAACTCATCAATCAGAAAACATTTATTGTATACAACTATAAACAACTTCGAAATGGCATGTGTGTTGCATCTCCACATTCTTTTCAGTTTGCGAGTGTGAAAAATTATGTGTTACACTAGTTCCACAGAGAGATTTTTGATGAATGATTTTTTCGAGGGGGATACAATGATCACATTTACATGTACAGCAAAGCTGGGTTTTATAATTTAGTGATAAATTGATTTTGTTGAACACTGTCACTGCTGGGCATAACTAGCCCTTTCTATCTTGAAAATTCTACCCAGATTCAGTTCAGCTAGCGCTGCTAGCTGTTCGAATTTTCCCTTTGAAAAGACATAAAATAAAACCAGTACATGTATTTACATTAAGATAAGCTTTTATGGAACCCTGAATGGTTTATGGAGTTCACAATGTGGGCAAAATGATTAGCTGCAAATTATCTACAAAAATAAAACAAGTAACAAACTTACAAATCAGCAATAACATCCCGTTAGAGTTTTAGGTAAAAACAGTGAAGATTGAAGGATGCGAGAACGAGAGAGTTTGCATCCAAGCCAAACTTTGACAATTTCAGGGCAGAAATGGATCATCGGGTTAAAAGTGAGAAAGAATGGCCTTTTTCACTTTACCTATCTGGTAGCAGATTGTTGAAATGGAAACAAATTAATTGGCCTAGCAACAATGTCCTGTCAGGTGGACAAGTCTTCAGATACAGGTTAACCCACCTGCATGCCAGATACAATATGGTGTTGTTTCATGCCAGACTGACCTCTCTCACTGGATCACTGCTGATTATACGGGAGAAACTCTCATTCCAAGAACCAATGTCAAAATGTGTACATAGATTATCTATGAGCACGAAAGATCCCCCCCAAATGGATGACGGTCCTTGGCTTAGAAACACTGCAGCTATCAGTATGATGACATCTGTCTATACTGATATTCCTAATGCAGTGTCGTCTTTAAGCAAAGCAGCTGTTGCAGCAGCATGCACTATGTTAGCTGCTGTCCCATCTAACTGATCTGTCAAGAAGGAACTGATGGTATCGATGGCTTGATCCATCTCTCTCTGTAATGACTGGATACGCTGGCAGTTCTCAGCTGACATCTCCTCAAAACGCATTAATTCATTCTGGTTAAAGAGTCCTCTGATGTGGTAGTACTGCACTAAGGCATGGTGGAGGCGAAGCTGAAGACCACCCAACTGAAGAAAAAAAAAATTGAATTCTATACGATACACCATGAATAATTCATATAAATCTCACTTTTAGATTTACTTTGGGTTCTCCTAACCCTGTTTGAGGTCTGGGAAGGGCTGATGGCTTTGCATTGTGATTGGTTACCATACGCACAACCTCCAACCACGAGGTTATCACTTCCTGTTAGCAAAGTGTTATTTGAAGTTTTGGTTAATCCATGGCAATGTTTTGGCACAGGCAAAAACGACGGCTTACATCACAAAAACATGGCCTTGGTACAATCACAATAATTTATCTTTTAAGTATCAATGATCATGTGTCTTTTGGCAATATATTTCAAATCACTGGTTATCTTGATCAATTTTGGATGAACTAATATGTGTAGTGAGAATATTTTCAGCACTGAGGAAAAAAAGAAAAAATAATGAATTAACAGCCACATTGAGCGAGCTTGCGTTCCTAGCAAAAATTACCCAAAATGCTCTGCGCAATGTTAGCTGTGACCACACGTGATGTATTTCCTACACTAAAATCTGTGCAAGGTCATCAGCCTACAGCTGATTTCTCAATGACTAAATTCAGTCTTTTGGCAATAGGCCTGGAGGCCGGTATTCATTACCTGCTTGTGGTCTTTAATGCTGGCTTCCAGGCTAAGACGACCCTCTAGGCCATCCAAAAGTTCCTCTTTCAGCTTAAGATGCTCCTGCTGTTTCAGCCTGTACTGATGAGCCAACTCCTTGTTCTCGCGCAGATTTTCCTTTAAATCACTCTAGAGAAGGAAATACACTATTCCTATGACTCAATCTGGAACTTTTAATTGCACTACACTGGCAAAATGAGATGTAAAATGCAAAAACTACTACAGACTGCTTGCTTACTTGCAGTACCTGAAATAGAAAAAAAAAATAGAAAGCCTACCAATTCAGTTTTAGCAGAATCTTTCTGTAGAACCTTTGAGAAAGATTAAAGAGGTATTTTGGTTCTTACCTCTAGTTGTTCTAGCACCTCTCTACGTGCCTTCATGTTCTCCAGATGCTTACTACTCCCTTCTTCCATTCGCTGAGTAACCTGAGTCAAGGAATCCTTCAGTTCATCTTGCTGCTTCTGACCTGATGTCAACTGAATTGTTATCTCTTCAAGATCTTCACTGATTAGTGATAAGAGAACAAATAAACTCTCTGTCAGATATCAAATTTTTTGGGGATCATCTTTGTCTCATATGAACTTCAAAATAGAAAAGTATCCACATGTGAACACAATTTAAGCAAGATAAAAAGGTTTACACTGCATTCAACCAAAAATTCAGAATGAAACTTGATTTCAGATTCAAAGGCACCTGTAGAGAAATTTCAGTGAAGATAAGGTCAATGTAAATTTTGGATGTGTAAAGCAATCAAACTCAGTATCAACGCATGGTCTTTTTTGGGGGGGGGTAATTTTTCATTCCTACTCAAATGTCCCAAACTTTGACATGAAAAAGTGAAGTTTGAAGTTTGTACTAAGCCAATAAGGTTTATCAGGTTGGTTATCATCAGTTTCTTTCCTGTACATATCCATTTATACTCCTGGACAGACAGAGGCAATTAGGGGTAATGTGGTTTACTCAAAGGACACAACCTGTGACCAGCAATTGGATTTGAACCCTGACCGTCTCCTCATAAATTACAAACCCTAACCACAAAGCTATTCTCTCTATGATGAAATCACATGACATTTATTTATACAAATTCTTAACCCCAACCCCCTAGAGTGTTTGTAAATTCACATTGAAAATCTGAAGATCTGGGACTGTTAGGGCTAAAGAAGCCCTGGGGCTCTGGGACAGTTGAATGCACTTTAATACACCAGTTTCTTGCACACATAGAACGGAACAAAGCTTTTCTGTCTTGTTTATACCAACAGTGCTCATTATAAACCGAAAACCAATCAAAATGAAAGGCTAATGAAGAAGATACTAGAGGCAAAAAAAAATCAATAAGAATCACAGATTCTGAAGAATGAACTTAACGGAAACAGTTTACACACTATATCAACTTGTTAGTGTGACATACTGCATTTATCTGGTGTACTTACGTTAATTCAGCAATACTTTCCTCTGTAGTGGTAATGACTTTATGCATAACACTCTGTGATTTGGCCATATCGGCAAGTTTCTTGTTAATCAAGTCAGTACGGTAAGCCATGTAGTCAAGGCGCTTCGTAGCATTCAGGATCTCTTTCTGCAAAACAATTTAGCATTATGGTTAGACCCTGACTTTGTAAATGTCCGTTGCCATTTCTTAAAGGCTAAGCCAAAAGACAGATTTATGAGATGTAAAACGTTGACAATGACATTGCACAGCTGCTACATACACTTTACATTTTGGGAGCCATCATTTATTCTGGGTCATCGATGCAAATGTCAAAAACCCATTGGCACCTCTATGGACAGCACAAATCTGATCTGCCTTGGATGAAACAGTGAGCTCCCCAAAATTTAGGATCAAGCATTATTTCAGTTTATTTTGTCAAGTTTCCTACCTCAAGATTCTCACACTGTGGTTCCAGTTCTTGGATTGTTGTAGTCTGTGATGCCTTCACTTCTTTGTGACGTTCTTTCAACTCTGCTATGGACCCTCGAAGCTCTGCAATAGTCTGGTGAATATGTCATAAAATTTTTCAAATATGATGCAAATCGATTCATCATTTGTGTCAGCTTGAAATATTTTTACTTCACGTTTCAGTGATAATTCATAAACATGAGCTGGTTAAGTCATCAAATACATGTAAAGACAGAGGTTATTTCAAAACATTTAAAATAACATAAGTCATATCCAGAAAACCAAAATGTAGTTCTGAATATAATCTACTGAAATATGCGGTACAGGGTATGAATGCTTACCAACTGTACAACCTGAATGTATCAAAAGAGTAAGTAAGGAGGATTAGATTTTGTCAGCAGAATCTACAAATTGTTCCACAAAATTCTGCTAAATAGAAGCACTGGCCCCCCTCTTATTTTTACAACTAACAGACTTGAACAAAAGGAAATCAGGAAAATGATTAATGATGTCTTTATTCACCCTTTGACGTTGAGCGTGTTCCTTCCTCAGTACTTTGACATCAGCTAAGATATTGCTGACAATCTGCTCCAATTCAAATGCCTTCTTAGAGACCTTAGCTTTTTTCTTCTTGGCTTCTGTCTGTTGTTTAGCCAAGTCTGTGGTGTCAGAAGAGATGCGAGCTTGAAGGACTGTCCGTGCATGGGTTTCCTCTTTGACTTGTTTCTTCAGACTCTCTGCCGTACCCTGTCAGACAAACAAGACAAGCGGTTCATTAAGTTAACTGCACATGACACTGACACCTAACATTCGTAGGTTCCAGGAAAACAGCATCTGACGCGCTGATTTGTTCAATTTTCCATATTGAAAACACAATTGAGGCAAGCTCTTGCAAAGCTACCTAAGAGGCACCTACAATGTAACACACATCTACTGTTCACAATGAGCGAGAGTGGTGCACAGACACAGAATATATTCAAAGCTGTAAGCTGTCTCACAGTCGGGTCACAAGACACAAGTGAATACTCAGGGTATGACTATTATTAACATTCTCAGTGTTTGTAAATGGCCTATGCTGACAAAAAAGGTTTTACAAGAACAACGTAAAAAAGGCAAGAGTTTGCACAATGTATGATTTGATCAACTTGAAACTGTACCACTCTCGTGTTTGTCAATTGTTGTTTTGAGAGAGAAGTTTTTAAAAACCACTTGAGATACGTAACCAAAACACAGCTACATTTATTTGATGACGCATTTGCTATAGGCTCAACTGCACAATGTATACCAGAAGCAAGACCCTTTCAATGCTTTGAATAGGCATTTTACTCCAATAAGACTTGAGACCAAATCGGACAATGGACTCATCAACACCTCCAGCAATTAAATCCCACCAGACTGTGCACAGAAAAAAGTTACATTTCTGATCAGGTGCTGTGTACTATTTTTTTACCTAGAGCTGGCATTGTATTCAATGCATTGCTATGATTGAGTTGGTAACAGCTGCTGTCACTTGTATATGACCAGCAACATGTCAATGTCAACTCAGTTTACTGCACTTGTAAAACCTCCCACTCAACATTCATTTGACAGGAAACCTGTCATTAAAGCACTGAAATACTTTCTACCTTCCAACTGGTTGGGGTATTGGGGTTAATGATCAGGCCCATGTTTCAAGAACACACTTAAGACTGCATTCACATTTCCGAGTCAATTGGTATATTTCTATGCTAATAATACTGTGGAATTTCCACACCTGTTTCACCTTGGGTGAATTATTGAGTTTTATGGTTGAGACAAAGCTTAAAGTGAAAATATGTAAACAACCAGCATTATGGGAATTGTAGAGAATGACCTGTTTACACGTAGTGCAGTGTATTATGCATAATGTTCAGGCATCTTTTTGAATAATACTGAATGTTTGATCACTATTAACACTCTTGGAATTCTTCAATAATCCATTCTTCTTCAAATGGGCAAAAGCTGTGACAGACTACATTGACCTTGGGTTATCATTATTCTATACATGTACAATAATGCAGCCATTTCCATTAGCATTCACTATTTTCTATTAACAACAATAACATTATCCTTGAAATCATTTTGACAGGTCTCAGACGTTTTTATTCCCCGCTGCCCTTCCATTTTGATGCCAGTTCTGATAAAATGGTCATAAATGATGCAATGAAAGTAGCAATTGATGACAGAAAGACTGAATGGAGAACTTACACCTGTCTTCACTTGCTAACTAAAAATGCTGGACCCATGCACAAATTTGCAGCACAGTATATTGAATATTTACAGAAAAAAATTAATCTGAGCAAATGCAGTCATTTGAGGAGATCACCTTTGTTTCTGAAAAGTTATGTATTTCAAATTTTTTTTTTTTAATATCACTTTTTTTTAATAAAGACTACTAATGTCTCACATTAAAGGTACACGTAGGTAGCACCATTGTTTTTTGCTGTAATTTACAGGATTGGCTGATTTGGGGTTTTGAAATTTACAATTTACCAATTTGGTCAAATTGAAGATCTTTTAATTTGGTCGCGCAGAGTTCATAGACAACAGGACATTCTGAGTGCATTCCAAAACAACAGCATTCTGGGCAAAAATATTTCTCAGATTGGCACAAGCTGTATGTTTGCTTTTTTTAAGTAAGACACTCAAGAATTATTTGGCAGTCCTATTTTTGCAATTTACCAATGGTTTCACCTGTCACGTTTTCATGTGGTGTCAACTTTGCTTCCAAGCTGTCAAAAAAATTCAACCCTTTTGAGTTTGAGCTTCCATTAAACCTTGTGCAGCCCCTTCCATATGGCAAACAGTCCCACTAAATAGACATAAGCTCAACATACATTCTGACTATAAACATTATGTTGAATTCTTTGAAAGACGTACATGTACACTCTTCAAAACTCAAGAGGTCGATCACATAGACAGGGCAAAATGAAGTTCACCTAGACTCTCATATTGGGAAAGATTCAAGATAAACATCTCCTGCAAAAAATAATAACATCTGGTGGCAGTATGTGGGATGACATCATGACAATGCTTGCTGATTAAAGTCACTCTCAATGCCAACTGTTACCTACCAGTACCTACTGGTACCGGTACTTCTTAGCAACCAACAAACCTAAGAATTATAGTCACTGGATAGTCTTTTGTTGACCATGTTCCAGTGTCAGCCAGGGTCAACTACTGATCTGACATTACAATGATGAACTTGAAGCCAGAAGAAATCAAGGTTGGCACACGGCAGACATAAAGGTACATGTATGTGACGTTGCACCGGTTTTACCAGTAATCCTCAGTGAAGGTTTACTGTAAGAGAATAATATCCTCTCCTTCTGACTAGTGATTAAAGAAACCCTGATAATCCCTTAGCCAATACAATGCAAGAGGGATGGCATAAGACCCCTCCATTGTACTTCAAGGCTAATGTCTTAACAAAGAAAGGTATTGGAGTGAAGTTCAATTTTCACTAGCTTAGGGAGTCCACTTGGGAATGTAAGGTCCATTCATGGCTGGGCCAGTTCTCCAAGGAGACAGTCTGTCAAGAAATCATTTAAGGACAATGGTGAAATGGTGACAAGCATCAAAGGGTGAATAAAGGGGCATAGGAGGGTCAAACAGCTCTTGATGGGGTAATTTAGGGGATTCCATGGCTTAAAGGGTTACTAAGTATTTTATCTTGCTTGAGGGAAAATTCAAACAATTACTTGAAGAAACTACATGTGTACTTGAGGAACAAAATGAGTGTAGTCTTAATGCTGTTCTCAATAATATACATGTATATTCCAGTTGTAAGTTTAGAAAAGACCATCCTTTTCGAATAGAGAAATGCTGAGTTCATATCACTCCTTAGGGATGGGGCTGGAAGTCTCAGAAGGACTATTGTGATGGTCAGTTTTCTTTTATTTTCAAACAATTTTAGGAGTAGAATCTGTATCCCTTCTCCCATGTTGAAGCTACCCCGTGACATAGGTTTCCACTTTAAGACTTTACTTAGAGGTCAAAGAATGCTGATTGATGTTGGGGCAAACCTTCACGGGTCTGGTGTAAGTTTTAACCAAATAAGATCTAATCCTATTAGGAAATGTTAAACTTATGATTTATGCAATGTCCTTATCTGGGCTGATCTCTTCCCTTTCACTGATTTCAAGGTATTTTAGTGACAGGTATACTCTGAGGTATGATAACTACAGTTACATGTCTGGAAGGGGAAATCAATGAAACATGTCTGTTGAAGGACTTAACCAACAGTCATTTGTTTGCAGTTGGTGTCCTTATGTACTTGTACTTATTGCTAGGTAAATATTGATGACGTAGGGAATGTGAATATGTCTTAATTATGGGCTAGAGCTGGACCAAGAGAGGGTGCAATTTTCCTGGCAATGGAGGCCCCTTTGGTAGTAACTACACATCGCTGGTTCACGAACAATTATGAAAAGCCAGCATTGCAGTCGCATTGCTACCAACAAAATGAACAGACCAACATGGCTTTTTTTTTCAACCAATGAGGGGGTGCTTCTGCTCAGGGCAGATTTCAACCACAGCTACATGTACTTAAAATTTCTGATAGGAAACCAGGGAGTCACAGTCTTTAGCCCTTGAAAACTTTGTATCTTCTTTAAAAGCAAATTGCAGTCAACTCTTGTTATGACTGGGTTGCAGGGACAAGCCAAATTGCTCGCTCTTAACGTACTGGTACGTAATATACTGTATTGTTACGAAAGTGCTCTTTACCTGAAGAATTAACTGCAACAATTTCATTTTAGGACTTGAATTGCCAATTACAACATCCATCTGTATGTACATGTGAGTTTGCGAGTATAAAAATTTACATGCACATCCATTCCATGTTCACAAGTTAAACAAAGGGCCTGCAATAGTTTACATAGTGAGTAACAACAATATGCAATTAACCACAGCACTGAGTAACAACACTATGCAATTAACCACAGTACTGAGTAACAACACTATGCAATTAACCACAGCACTGAGTAAAACCAATATGCAATTAACCACAGTACGGAGTAACAACACTATGCAATTAACCACAGCACTGAGTAAAACCAATATGCAATTAACCACAGTACTGAGTAACAACACTATGCAATTAACCACAGTACTGAGTAACAACACTATGCAATTAACCACAGTTCTGAGTAAAACCAATATGCAATTAACCACAGTTCTGAGTAACAATATGCAATTAACAACAGCACTGAGTAACAACACTATGCAATTAACCACAGCACTGAGTAACAACAATATGCATTTAACCACAGTACACAGTGGGAGCTCAATTATTAGATTAGGTCCTCCGTTTGATGAATGAAATATTGAAGAGGGTTTGAATCCCAGCACATACTGTACATTTGTTCTACCGTTTACCCCTAGCCCACCGTGACAAATGCGCCGCATGCTCACCGTCTAACTGACACCAAAATCGAGACTGTTTTTCGATTTTGCTAAGGTGTTTGTGTAAAACTGTAGGGCAAAGTCATCGATTGTTTTACTGTACTTAATTTTATCAAAACAAGAAAATGATAAAACTGTATTTATCCCATACTGTTTGACCATTGCAAAAATGGTAAAAGGGTAAAGCAGTTGATGCACTGTTTACCATTGCCATCTACGAGGAAATGCTGAACAGTAAAACAAATGAACTGCATGTACCAGAATTGGTTCGCTTGGAAACACTGCTGACAGACAAAATGAGGCAAACTGGCATACTGGGTTATACAGAAAAGTAACATTAATTCATGGAGCGCAATGCATGAGGGGAAAACAGATACAAATTCAATTTTATGACATGTTTCAAATGAAAAGTCACGACTGAAGAGATGTCTTACCTGTAGAGTATCTTCCATCATTTGGGCTTTATCCTCTTCACCTATTAGTTTGTTGCGTATTGCTGTATTGATAACTTTGATCTTATCATACTCTTCGTCAACTACAGCTAGCTGTGTCTCCACCTTAGTCATTTCTCTCTTGATCCGTTCCACATTCTTGGCATCTGCCACCTGCTGCTTGGCACTACAGGGAAAAATAACCACGGTTGAAATTGGTGAAAAAAACAGCTTCTTATATATCTCTGTTCACCCATTTGTCTTTAACATTTGCCACATTTAAAGCCTTGACTAAATCAAACCTGCAGCATGATTTCTCTTAGAAACTTTTGTACTTAGTGACACTCACTGTTCAAAATACTCGGGGTTTATGAAGGTAAAACAAAAGGATATAAATAATGTGGAAAATATGTCTGAATTGCAGCAACTTAAACCTGTGAGGAACCCTGATGTCCGAACTGCAGTGCAAAAGCAGCAACTGACAATTAACAATTATTGATTGCTGGGATGTGGATATGCTGTTTTGAACACCCTCGAGTAGACATGGCATCCTCGGTAAAGTCAACAATTGTTCTATATATCTCTGTCTCTCATATCTCTGTCTTGATGACGTCTATCACTTGTTTTTCTGGGGAAAATTACGGGTAACAAAGTAATCCTTGAATCACTTTTAGGAATTAGTGGTCCCTGCATTACATTATACACCGCAGGGGAACATGTGTGCGTGCGTGCGTGCATGTGTACCCATGACAACATATGATGACAGCTGATGTGATGTCCAACAATGAGTGTGACATGCATTTATGTTGCCCTGTCACATGATCATTCTGGGCCAATGAAGAATTAGTATTCAAGACAGAGGTATGACAGTTTGGACATATATTAGACTGCATGTTAACTAACCAGTTCTTCAGTTTCTGTTCAGTATCTTCAATCTCCATTGACATTTGTCTGCATAGTGATTGTTGCTCTCTCAATTCTGCCAATTTCCGCTTGGATTCTCCCTCCAGATCATCTGTTTCTTTGGTTTGATTATTTTTCTGTGGATAGTTTCAGGGAGGAAAACAAGGTGTTTAAGCTTGATGCAGGATTTGAGGCATGTGAAAATGCGACAATAGAAAATATAATTTCAAAGTCATTTGGGGTTTAAATTGAAGGGCAAAGAAGTTATAAATGAACAGACGATATATGAAATGTAATAACCCTTTGCTCTCTGAAAAGCTACTGAGTGACACTCAAATATTGAAATGCTTTGAATGGTTTAACAGAACATGGGTTAGAACAACAAATGTTGCATTTAAAATGGTTTTTCTGGACAATTTCAATACCCACTGAATTCCTTACTTTCCAGAATTTGTTCAGTATATAGAGCTGGAGCCCACTCAGTGGAAGTATTCCCATAGGAAGTATTCCCACAGGAACTCCGACATAAAAACTAGCTCAGAATATCTTGTTACAAAGATAGGCCTACCAATCAAGTAAACTCACCAGTGAAATTTCTGCAAATATACATTTAAATAGCATGCTTTCCAAGTCACATAGTTTTATATCCCTCATTCTCATTCTGAAGGTACAGCTTTTAATGAGAGGTAACTACTGGTACGATTCACTCTTAAAACATACCGTTCTTTCTATTTGGCTGGTCAATTGGAAGTTATGATCCGCCTTCTTGCGATGCTCAAACTCTGCTTCTATGATCTTCTCTTGGATGTCCTTGACCTTTGAAGCCTGAATTTTCTCTGCTGATTTGGCACTTTCACACTTTGAGACTGAAATTTAGACATGAATGTAGTTAACACATCACGAAATGATTCTTCAAGTCATCTTCGAATTTAGTTCTTCAAGTTCATAAGCACAGCCATGTGGAATCTTGCAGACATGAGATCTGTGGCAACAGTGTGCATATAAACTGCAGCAAATATTAAATACAATTCTATTTTTGGCAAAACAGGATAACAGTCCTCGTGTCCTTAAGAAACAAACCTTGCTGCAATAGCTTCTTGCATCTCATTAATAAATAGTCATCAAAGGGCGTCAAATATTCATTAAGTATTCACTGATTGATCAGTTGGACATAAAATTCCAGAGTAAATGCGTCACATGCACAATAACCAGTGTGTGAAGCAAAACGTGCGTACTCCATCTGTTTATACTCTAGTTCCTGGTTCAAATGACACACTTGAACACTTGAATTCACACTTGAATACTCACGGAGCACAAGCCTCTCTTCCACATTCTCCCGGAGCTTCTGTCTAAGGTCATTGCACTGATGAGAGTAGGAAGTATGAAGAGCCTTAGCTTCATCAAGTTCCGTGCTGTGAAAATATTCAAAATAAATATTAGAATACTTACTATACATACAGCTACAATGAATGGCAGTGATTTCAAACAGCCACTTTGGTTAAATCACATCTTTAGTATGTGGATAAAAGAACCTAATTGGGGAGTGATCAAGAGTCATTGCAATGCCATAGTAATGCCCTCGTAAACGTACCTGATCTCCCTGAGAGCATCACGGACTGCTTCCAGCTCTCGCTTAATGTGAGCACGCTCCATGTCAGCTTTCCCATGAGCCTCTGCTGACTTGTCTTCTGTTCTTTTCAGTTTCTCGTAGGTTTGGTTTAACATGTCTGTCGTCTGTTAATTTGTGTTGCAATATAAACATTTGATTTGAAAATAATTATGAAGCAAAAATTTGAAACACTTTATGCCGGAATATGAAATTTGAAACTGGTTACATGTGTTGGGTTCTGATAATTTTCAAGTCAGATCAAGCTAATAGGAAACAGCATACTTGGGAGTTTGAACTGGAAATTCGATCCAAAATATTTACATGTAAATAGAGGGGATAGCACTGTTTGCTGTTTTTATTTTTTTTCTGATAATATACGTCACAGTGGAACAAAAGGGAATGTCATGATTCAAGCAGACTGGTTACTTTCAAAGGAAAGTATAAATGTACACTGTCTTAGCAATAACCTTAATGGGTAATTCCAGAAATTAGGGGTCCAAAAGTATGACATTTTCGTTTCCCCATTACATCTGACCTTTGTCATTTGCCATGGAAATATCACCAGAATTGATTTCAAACTATTACTATTTGTTTGGCAGGTAATTTGCATTAATTCATCACTCTTGGAAATTAGAAAATGTGTTCTGAACTTACAAAATCATATGTCAGATGTGACAGGAAAACAGAAGAAAATGGATCCCCTACTTTCTGGAATTACCTACATGTGACTCAATGTACCTGAACTTGAGCCTCATCTATTCTCTTCATGGCATCCCTCTCCAGCTCTAACTTCTCTTCCACCAGTGGGCTAAATTATAAATACATATATAAAAACTGAATTATTAAAACACTGCTTGGCCCTTGAAAGATCAGGTATGACTTCACAAATGATCAAGAGAGGGCGCTTTGCTACCTAGTCACGACATGATAACACAAATCTGTACACTGACTCATGAACATATTTTACATATTGGTATAGGTATACCAACTTTTAAATGTGAATAAGCCCATAGGATTTTGTGTGGGTGATTATGGTGTTCAGTGGTTGGTTCCAGCCCCATAACCAATGAGGAGGTCCTTGTGCTGGGAGCTCTTACACAGGTTACTATCAACAAAATGATGATGCTTACAGCGCGTTGATGAGAAGACCCCTTAATTTATACATACAGATACACAACCTCAGAAAATGCTCCGAATAACTTGCCAGTGTTTCTGAACAAATGCAATATCTTCCATCAGTCTGGCATTCATAAGTTCAGCAGTCTCAACTTGGCCTTGAACACGGCTTTTTTGTCTGGCACGGTACGAACAATGCCATTTCAACTCGGCGATGTCAGTTGCACATGCTTCATGTTCTGTTGGAAAAAAGTAAGTACATCAAAGGAATGACAAAAATGATTAAAGTGACTGTGTGCTTCTACATGTACAAGACAAAGTGTACGTGCATTATTTACATTGGCAACCCCAATTTGCTTTCGCAGACATTCAAACTGATCAATCACTTTAAACTGACTGTTTCTACTTATGCATCAGCCAGTTAAATAGCATGAATATTTAATGGCGATAATCTAGGACACAATGGGCTTATTTCAACTTGTAGGCATATTATGCATTTCAACCATAAACTGGTCATGCCTCTGTTGAAAGTTCCACATGCTCTGAGTTTCATGATTGCTCAATACACATGGTTACTTTGACCATTTCAGGTTTTTATCCTACCTTTCTGAACAGCTCTTGGTAGTTCAAACAATCTTCTTGCAGCTAGTCTATCAATCTTAGACTGTAGCCACTGTACCCTCCTGCATTCCTTGTCATACAGTTCTTGTGTATCTCTTCGGTCAGTTTCAAGACGTCCAAGAAGTACAACAACTTCATCTATCACTTCTTCAGCTCCAAGATGAGGAATTTCATCTTCAATATCTGTCACTACCATCTCAGCTACAATTTACAAAAATCACAAAAAAGATAAGCAGGATACATAAAACCTCACTTATAAAAAGACAAACTTAAGGCTGATGATGAATAAAAGAAAATAGCTACAAGTGTAAAAACACAACAGCATTTTGAAGTTATAACTGTTAAGTGTTCAGAAAATGAACCAAACCTGGCATATGAATTGTCATAAACTTACTGGTTAGTTTAATTTATCTTAAGAAAGTACATGTATAGAAACACTGTTCCATATACTCGTAGCCCCATCATCACAGTACAAAGGGAAACATGAGACTGTTGTTGTGTAAATTTCAGTCAGTGTTAAAAGAGGCAACTGATAAAGCCCAGAAAGTATGAGATGCAAGGTCAGACAGTGATGGTTAAATACTAAGAATCCTGCTAAGATAACACTCTACCTTTTGGTGTAATGGCACCTACTCCTTGCACCGACAGCTCACATGTTCTTGGTGTTCCTGCAGTGTGTGTTGATGGTAATGAACTATGGGTTGAATGCACTGTTGATGAGCATCCAGTAGAGGTACTGGTAAGATAATCCATTGCTCCAGGTACAGCCGAGTCAGAAAGAAACCTTAGTTGTTTACGACCTTTCAGAAAATATCAAGAAAACCACTGGTGGATGAAAATCTGTTGATACTGCACATTCTGAAATAGTTATTCAATTACATGTACTTGTCTTATGTTTTGTTTTGTGTACACGTAATATGTAACAAATACATGAATTTTTGGTTTATAAATCCTGATTGCTTTTCAAGAATTGTTTGTCTAAATCCTTTGTCTCCTCAACTCTCTAAATCCTTTGTCTCCTCAACTCTCTAGATCCTTTGTCAACTCAACTCTCTAAATCCTTTGTCAACTCAACTCTCTAAATCCTTCGTCTCCTCAACTCTCTAAATCCTTTGTCTACTTAACTGTCTAAATCCTTTGTCAACTCAACTCTCTAAATCCTTTGTCTACTCAACTCTCTAAATCCTTTGTCTCCTCAACTCTCTGAATCCTTTGTCAACTCAACTCTCTAAATCCTTTGTCAACTCAACTCTCTAAATCCTTTGTCTACTCAACTCCCTAAATCCTTTATCTACTCAACTCTCTAAATCCTTTGTCAACTCAACTCTCTAAATCCTTTGTCAACTCAACTCTCTAAATCCTTTGTCAACTCAACTCTCTAAATCCTTTGTCTACTCAACTCTCTAAATCCTTTGTCAACTCAACTCTCTAAATCCTTTGTCTACTCAACTCTCTAAATCCTTTGTCAACTCAACTCTCTAAATCCTTTGTCTACTCAACTCTCTAAATCCTTTGTCAACTCAACTCTCTAAATCCTTTGTCTACTCAACTCTCTAAATCCTTTGTCTCCTGAACTCTCTAAATCCTTTGTCAACTCAACTCTGTAAATCCTTTGTCTCCTGAACTCTCTAAATCCTTTGTCTCCTCAACTCTCTATATCCTTTGTCTACTCAACTCTCTCAATCCTTTGTCTCCTCAACTCTCTAAATCCTTTGTCTACTCAACTCTCTAAATCCTTTGTCTACTCAACTCTCTAAATCCTTTGTCTACTCAACTCTTTCGTACCTATTCTCAAGGAAAATAAAAGTATGACGGTAACATCAGAGACGTAATATTATTTATTACTTAACCTCATACATATTCATGACAGATTGCCAAACTCTCATTAGTCTATTCATGGTCACGTGCCGGCTGCTATATTTGCTGTTTGCCAAGCGCACATGTGATTGTTCACGCACGGAGTAAATATGCATACGCAGTAGCACAAAATCCAGGAAATGTCGCCCGGGCGTACTGTGCACCTGTGGTGACAGACTAGCAACGGGGCAGCTCAGCTGAGCGATGCCAGACTGGATAATATTGTGGACAATTAGGATGCTTCCTCCACTAAGGTTGTCCAAAACGTGGTGGAAACGCTAAAAAAATACTGTGTTGCAAAAGGATTGGACTTATCTTTTCTTTCATGATGATGTTTTTAGTTTCAGAGGCTATCAAATATACTATGTATGAGGTAAAGTAAAAACAAATATAAAATGGTTTATTTCGGTTGGACAATCAATGTTAGCTCCCCTCGGTAATGGGAGTTGACAAACTTGTTCCTTCATTTGTCAACTCCCAATACCTCAGGGAACTAACACTGACTTTCCAACCTCAAACCATGTTATATTCGTATCATCCATCTACATGGTAACAAACTACATGCCTCAGAATATCTGTATCTGTTCTTTAAATCTGTTACAATTAAAATACCCTTTTTGGAAATGTCATATTCAATGTATGCATGGTTCAAATCAATATTAAGGATTTTAGGCACATAAAAGTCATTTTTTTCCCATCCAAAAACATGAGTAATATACAAAATCAACAAATGTATTCATGTTTCATACTGACCAGTATCAGCTGTTAGTCTACTTGGGGCATCTTCAATCACACTAGAAGATCTTGATGAATTCATCACACTACCAACTACAGTCGACGACCGCCTACTTAATATCTCTAGCTCCACCTCTCTGCTCCATATCTCAAAGCGATCTTGAAGCTTCTGAAGATGCTCCAAAGCCAAGTCAACATTTGTGGAGGCAGGTTTGCGGAAGAAGAGAGCACGACGCTTAAAGATCTTGTCATGTAGACGTGGCCATCCATCTGGGATAGGATAGAGCTTGTCTGTGGAAGGGATGAGTTAGTATGTACACGTAGGTAAAAGGTACTGAACAATCCAAAAGTTAGAACACTAAACCTACTTACTGCAATATTAAACAGTGGGTAAGATGTATGTTGACAACTTGCTTGAAGATAAGCTGGAGTTGGATTAACTGCTGTCCTTGGCCATGTATTTTCATGAGAGATATTCTTCAAGAAAATCAGAAGGCGCTGAACATCTTAAGTATCCCCAGGTGTAGAACAAAGAACCATGCTACATATATAGCTTTTTTTTCTGCCCAAGTACACAATCTTTTTGCCTAGGATATGCTTTCTGTTGCATGGACCATGTATTGAAGACAAGACATTGCTGTGTAATCTACCCAACAGAGTCAGAGTATGAAGGACAAGTACATGTAATGGTTTGTGTGCATATTGGTCGGCGTGTTCATGGCAGACACTACTCACAGCCAATATTCATCTGAATATTCTACAGCTTCTTTCAAGCAGATATGTATTTGAGCTTGTTCATATGATGGAAATAGACCTACAGCTCAAGCCTCCTTCAAACCAATTCAACCGATACCTTTGTAAACCACATGTGATGAAGAAATGGGTTTATGAAACATGTAAATGTATGACTTTACACTATAATTCAAATTTCTCTCTGTTTACCAAGTTCTCTCAAGTTTTTCTCTTCTCTCTGCTCAGTATCTGGTGATGTCTTCTCTTCATCAATACCAGAGTCATTAGTAACTTCATCCTTAGGTACTGATCTTTGTCGCCTACTCTGGAATTGCTTCTTTTCTACCAATCCAACCAAAAAATAAAAGATATTCTGAGACTATGTTCTTGACAACAAAAGTCTTTCAATTCAACAAAAAAACAAACAAACCATGTCTAGATATATTTCTGAACCGCATGTATGTCAGCATCTAGGCATCATACATGTACATGTATGATGCAGCTTAAAAACAAACTATCCAAACTGAAAGCACTGAAATAAAATAAACATCGACAGCCCATAAAGTATCAAAGTACATGTAGAATTACAGACGTAAAAATTTGAAGCCGACACCCTACTTGTAGATTACAAATAAACAATTGTCATCTCTACATTGTTTGAAATGTACATGGTAGACTACAATGTACTTCTATGTCGTAGACATGTGATGTTGCCTGCTCAACATTTTCGCTTTACCACTTGTGCAAATAAGAAACTAGTGATCCATTATAAGAATGGCCAAAAACACATAGGGCCTACGTTGTATAACTTGTTCCATTTACGCTGGTTCCTTGATTCAACTGAAGTTTTTTTATTTCAGCAATGTCTACCAATATCAAGTTGTCAATTTGTTCATATACCTTTCTGTGAAGACAAGGTCTCATATGTCTGTTTTTCACTGGGGACTGGTGAGAATGTAGTGCCAGTCACTTCAGTTGTTGCACTCAACTTGGAACCAGTCCTCGGTTGTGTCAGGAATGCTTTGTTTTTCTTCTTTTGTGGTTGAGAGCCTACTTCTACACGAATCCGGATTTGTGCCGTATCAGAAACTTCACTAAACGCACCTGGCGATGATGCCATCTTTGGTTTTAAACCATCTGCTGTAACTCTGTAAACTTTTACATCATCTGTAATGAAATAAGTGGGATGAAATTACATGAAAACGCCTGGAGAGTGTCTAGCAATCTGGGCTCGTTAACCAGTTAATATTTTTTACCAGAAAACGCTGCTTGGGACGGGTTTTTACCTGCAAAGTCTTCAACCTTCCAATTGCGCTTGACATGCTTGACCCAATTAAGCACGACGCTTAAACGAGCTTACACGTCCTCCATGGAGCACATAAGGAAAATTATGTGTTTACCCGTCATCTGGTGTCAAGTGGTAATTCCATCTTTTCCTAAGGCCATGAGATGGAACATATCCGTGGGAATTCCTTCTGGACAATTTTGAAAACCCATGAGGCTTTTTTTCATTATTCATTAGTTGGTGTAGGTACATACCGCACATCAATAGCCAGTACGCGTCCATGTAAAGGGAACCAACCTTAAAAGTAGACTAGCTCTCAGTCTGTTTTGCATCACGCCATTTGTAGGTGGGTGCACTACAAACTCCTGATTACTTTGGAGCCATTTTTTAACAACAATTTTTCTGAAATTAAAAGTTTTGGAAAATAATGAAATTTTAGGGTGGCTGTTTCAGTCAGTAGATGGAAGAATATCCATTCTCATTGCCTAACAAGTAACGTTAGGCCTAGGCCTACCTCCATGATTCCATGGTGATTCCCTATTTGAATTTTTTGGCAAGGGTCACAATCACTTTTGTGGGATGACATAAATTATCTGGAAGAACGTTTATCTTGACACCACATCTTAATTCTGTGCAAATCTATGGACAGTTAAAAACATTTCCCAAAATGTACAGAATAGCCGTGGTTAGCATGGTCAGGCATTATCAGGTGAATGAATGAATGAGAACAGGAGAATTTTTTGTTAGAACGAGTTTTAGTTTAGGCCCTCATTCAACTTTGTTACTTCAAAACTTGCTCGTTTTTCCTCCGTTTTAATGTATCTTAATTACAACCTTTGACATGTTTAACTCCATGAAATCAACAAAAATGAAATAGGAACCTGAACAAACACTGGGCCTAGGCCTACCTCAACTTTCAAGGTCCAGTAACTGAAATTAAAATTGCCACTGTGCTCCAGCTCGTCAGGCAGCCATTTCGCTTGTTGTTTCCTAGTGACGAAAAATCCCGACAAATGCCGAACTTGCATCGGAAACGAAAAATACGGCCCATAAACTGAAATGTCGTTGACCTCTTGGATTTATCCATTATTTCAAGGGCTCTCTTTTATGATATCAGTTTCGTTCATCAAAATTATAAAATATCAGTTATTTTTTCTTTATAGGAACCTTTAAGAATTTATTGTTTGACGTACAAAAGTTCAAGAATAGCGATGCTTGATGTGTCTGCAGGACATTGTTATCGTAACATCTCCGTGCACACCCCTTTAGAAAAAAGGTAGATTCTCCTCAAAATGGCGGAAGGCTAAGTGAGGATAGGAACTGGCTGTTGAAGGAATGGTGTTAGGCAATTTGACTTTTTACCCTCCTGGAAACTGATTTTGTGCCCGATCTATCAACGAAAGAAGCATGAAGGATAAACACAGACGTAGAAAGGGTCGGACATGGGCTGAGGCTGCTAAAACGGTTTGTATTTAATAGTTCATTCGAACGTGACTGAAATTTTCATTTCGGCATGCAATATTATTATATGTCATGATGTACCTTACATGTACATGTACTACTACTAGGCTACACTACACAGTGCAATGGCAATTGCCAATACAGGGGGCAGCCGATGGGGTAAGGGTCATGCTATTTTAAGCGTCAACGAGCGCTAACAAGCTTCAACAAAGCGTCAACAAGTTATTCAAGCATATTTATGCAAAGACCTTTATCCAAAATGTTGATTAGGATCCTAAATATTAAATTCTATGTAGGCCTAGGCCTATCAACATGATCAACATGATCAATCTGAAATGATATTTGATTTTGAGTGTTGAAATTTGAGTGACAAAGTCGGGCCTGTTTGTGCAGTCCAACCGGTCGACATGTTGTTTTCGCATGGATGGCAGAGAAAAGAAAAAGGGCGGCCCCCATACATCGCGAAAAATTTTCTTTTTCCTGCAAGAATCTGGAAGCAAATTTGATGTTTCTCTTACATAGTGGCAGGTCTTAGAGTCTCTAAAATATGATAAAACCACTTAGTTTTAAATCTTTAGATGGTATTTTCAAGTTGTTGACACTTCGCTGACTCTTATTGCATGTGTTGACGCTTGTTGATTCTAAATAGCATGACCGGCCGATGGCAATGAACCATCTGACCATGGATGAAGTTATACTATTTTACACAGTGCAGCTTGGAACTTTATTCGGTGGCCATGCCCAAAAGTACATGATCATGGTAACTGTCTTACTAATGCAACCGTGGACCTGGCTGGAAGACCTACATGTAGGCTAGGTCATGTACGGTAGGCCTACTCTGAGTCTGAACATGGCCCAATCAGTCATGGCCGGCCATCATGATCATGGTCATGGACATGATCGATGGATCATGTTTATATTTAAAAGGTGACTAAAACACAAAACATGAGCCCATAGGCCTACTACAAGATAGCAGTTTTCTCCGATCAAGCCATGCCATGTGTTTTGATTACATGATTGCAGAGGGGTCTCACCATTTTGTGTTTGTGAGAATAGAGCCCTAATGAGGACTGAGACAGGTTTATGCAGCAGTTTTGGGAACACCTTGTTTGGAAAAAGATTCTCCAAAAAAAACCCATGAATTATTTGAAATTTCATTGTATTTATAGGTGGCAGGACTTGAAGCAGTTTAGTAGTATGAGCTCTTCCGTACAGCTGTCAAATGAAAACTTACTCTTTTGAATTTATTAGCACCTCGTCAGCTTCCCTACATAGTTTGTTTATTTTATTATCAATTAATATTTAAAGCAACACCGACAGTTGAAACTGATAGCTTTTCTTTCACTTATGTTTCTGACTTGCAGGTTTTAGAGAAACAGCCTAATACGCCCATGAGCTGTAAAGAGATATTAAGAAATATAAAAGAGGCTAATCTTAAGGACATAAGGTAGGAAACCATGTTTGTATTTGTCCCCTGTTGTATGCCAACTGGGGAAGATTCTTGCTAAGAACAGGTTCCACAATACACACATTCCACACAAGTTTAAATCTACACATGTTTCTCAATATTAGTAAATGATTTCCTTTTTAGACAATATTGATCCTCAACTTTATCTGAATCATTTTTTGTGATTAGTTGTATTTTTATGTGCCTTAAATCAGTAAGCAACAAAATTAATATAATAGTGAAATAGTCATGTCAAGATTCTTGTAACACCAGGCGAGTTAATCAAATATGAACCAGCATTTTTACAAAAATGTACTATAATTCTTTGCTCTAAACAAATATTTATCAAGAGAAACACATTAATGCAATAAAATTCTAGTAATTGACCTGTTTTCTGGAATCTGTTTTATTTTCTTGAAATACTGGTATTGTGGGGAGTATTTTACTTTTTATGTATTTAATTCTCAAATAATTGTTTCACCTTTTTAATGTTTAACTTTAACGTTTGGTCACTACCTAATGGAACTACTTTCATGCAGAAGGTAAGAGCTAGGTTTGATTTGCATGTGTCTGTTGCTTTGAAGTTGAACGTTATACTTGGCATGGTTTGATTCAATATTCAGCAACTTAGCTGTGACATTGTCTTCGTTTGTAGTAAATACCAAACAAGAAATCCTGTATATCACTTCATGCATCCATGTTCTAAGGGATCACATGGTTGGTTTTTGTTAAATTAATTCCTGAAGTAGACTTGTCAGTTTTAATGAAATACTTTGCTCTATGAACCTTGCACCTCATTTCAGTTGTTCCACTAACATTTGGTCAAAATATGAATGTTTGTTTGAACACTCTCAATCAGAATACCATGCTACACATACATTGCTTGCCACATGGGCATGGGATGTTGACAAATTGTTAAATTCATTGATGTAGTTAATGGTATTGATAGGAGGGACTGAATTATCTTATTTGAGGGAATTCAGCTACCATTGCTCATGCTTGACATGTTGTATTGAATGAATTACTGGACTTCTTTGTTTGTTTTTTTCAGTGGTACCGTGCCCTCTGCTTGCTTAAATGCTGTTCTACATGGTGGTTGTCGTGGACCAGATGGAACCTTCTTCAAAGTGGCTGATATGATGGGAGTTTATGGTCTAAGAGTGAGTTCCTATTTAAAACGTTACTTTACCTTGTTAAATTTCACCCAAATTGAAATTGGTTTTAGAATTTTGCATTTTTGACGTAACGTATCTAAATACGGTGAAACTTCAAGTAAGCATTTTACAATACTTGAAAGTTTCTGGCGCGCATCCAGTAATAACTGATAGATATTTAAGTGTATAACCATCTCTCATAGGTCATGGTTTCCCACATTATCTTGGTGCATGCATACACATTTACTTGTTGAATATGGCAAGTTCGCCAGCTGGGGCCAATTTCATAAAGCTGCTTAAGCACAAAATTTGTCTAAGCACAAAAAAACTTTACTAAATAAACAAAGACCAGCTCAAACTCATGATTTCCATGCTAGCCAAAAGACTGCTGAATACCATTCCAAAACAATATACTGTACATCACCAGAAGTTTTGTCCGGTAACCTGATTTGTCAAGCAAGGTTTTTTCAGGCTTAAACAAATAAATTTTTCGCTTAAGCAGCGCAATGAAATTGGCCCCAGATCTTAACTGATACGTGGAAGTTGAATGTGAAAAGAACAGGGTTTATTCCTCCACCATTTGTTTCACATAATAGATTTTAATTTGAGTGACCTACATGTACATGTACATTTTACACTTGAATTTACTGTGGAATGTTTTCCATTCCTTGTTTTCTCAGAGTCATTTATCTGATGAAGCTCGGAGTATGCTAGAATACAAACTGGATGACTCAATAGATGTGTCCAGTACCCTGGATAGTTTAGATGAACCCGATGCTGAAATAAGTGTCAGCAAAATGCAGTCAGGTACCAAGAAAATGCGTGAGTGAAATACTTGTACTTAATGATATGCAACCTGCTTCAATTCACATGTATAAGAGAATTACCTGAATGACAAGTACTATTAATAGACTGATTGCTCCTGTGAATCATGTGATATACAGTGGACATCATCATGTGTTTGGAGTCTTATTTACAAACAAGAAAGCCAATGTTTGGTATAGCACCCAGGCACATCAGTAGTTTGAGTATGGTACCTATCATCAACTTTAGTTTTGGTAAATGATACTTATGGAACACTTTGCTTTTCGTGGACACCGTGTTTGTTTACACATATATTTAATACCCACTATAGGTCACGCGACTTAGGGCGTGCAATCTGTCTATTGTCTTCCTTTTACAGAATTTTTTCTGTTTAGTTGAGATTGAGATACCCTAAAGGTTACTTAATTTATTTCTAATTATCTCTTTTGAACCTTACTTTCATTTCTCTAGCTGTGTGCTATCTACCCGAGAAAGCACACCATCTCATTCCAGCCCTCAGACGCTTTACACTCCACCAAGTCCCAACAACATCAGCAGCATCTTCAGGTAGTGTCTCATCTCATCAGTCACCACCAAGGATGACAGAGTCGGAGAATCGTGTCCATCATCACCATTATCACAGTAAGGGCTTGAAAGCTACATCACAGATGCACAGCCCAACAAAGTTAAAATTCACTCTACACGTACATCCCAAGCACCAAAGACGGAAGCAGCAGATTGTACCTAGGATTATCCTGAAGCCGCTAAAATCTCCTCCAGGAAAAGAGCCCAATTATGCAGGTAAACATCTGACAAGTTCTGTACAATGCAGTATCACGTTTGGACTGTCACTTCAAAAGGTATACTCTTTTATATCAGGTGGATAATAATAAAAAGTAACAGGTGCAGTATGTCTATATGACATTGGTATTTGTCCCGAAGTTTCATATCTATTTCCGTATATACATGTATGTTTTTCACACAGTTCTAAATCTGGCTTTTATGTTGGCAAATGTGCGAGGGCATAAAATTCTTTATGGTTGGAATTTTTGTATGCAAGATATAATGGTGAACACCATGGAGTCACCAGTGAATAGCGTCATAATTCTAGATTGTGATTCAATGCTAACTTTATATTCCTTTACATTGCAGCGGAGGTGATAGATCTAACACCATCTCCCAGTGACAACGAACGTGATTCTCAAGCCATGCAAGATGATGATATTGACACTGACACCAGCAAAGATGACACCTCAGAAAGTAGTAGTCTTGGAATTACAAAAAATCACGTCAGTAATGCCTACACTGTTGAACACTCCCAGATAGATCATCAGCCACCCTCATCCTCAGACCAACAAGCAGCAACTTGTAATCCATCAAGTACATCTGATAATTCTGGGAATGTGGTTGACAATCAGTCCAATTCCATGCTTACCGCTATCAGGAGTTGTCAAGGAGGCAAAGATGATAGGAGTGATGTTCCTGCTGCACCTGTTACGAAACCCGAACCACCTGCTGCCAGCCGGGTGTCACTACGAATCAGCATGAGACAGACATTACCACTACAGACACAGACAAGGTCCCAGACTATGAGCAAATTAATGGCCAATGTACCAGGATTCAGTGGCAAGGTGAATGTTGGTTTTCAGTATCACACACAAGAAAAAGTGTTTCATAAACACTGAAAAAATAGCATTATAATGTGATATACAGATTATTTGAAATTTGCTTAATTCAAATAAGATGTACATATAATTCCCCAAACTCAGTCAAGGTTTGATTGCTGGTTGAATGAAGAACCATTGCAAGTTGTTGCTTAGCTGAAGGTACATTCCGATGCTGCCAAAGAAAATTCAAGTGGAATAATTAGTAACATTCTGTCCTTCTCTTACAGCCAAGAAACAGAGATAAAAAGTTTTCAGGTGAGATGTGATATTATTTATTTATATGTAATCATCCAAAAGTGCATTTAGCACCAATTACAGGATGATAATGAGTGAAGAAGACAATGCAAAAATGTTCAGTTTAGAGGTGGGAGGAAAATTCCGGATAAATTTTTCAGGCAAACCCTAGGACTGAGGTAGGGACTGAAAACCCAGTCCGCATGCAGACTGAGCCGGATTTGAACCCCAGAAGTGGAAGCCAAGGAAAGAAGCACTATGCCAACCTGTCTCCCCAAATTAAAGAAATAATTCACAAGAATATTAGGGATATTGCTTTGTTTAGTCAAACACCTGTAGTATACTGTCCTCATTTTTTCCTAGTTTTATCCAAGCTACATCCTCCTAAGAAGATGAGTCTTCATGTGGATCTTGAAACACCAGATTCCATCTTGGCTAACGTCAACCTGAAGGTAGAAAATCAAACATTTTTACTGATTACCTATTACCCATTTACCTATTGAGTCAAATTGTACAAGTCGTGAGCAAAGATCGTATAGCACCGCGTAGCGGCGCAAGATGCAGAACTTCACTGTGAATACACGTAAAATGTTGTAATCGCATAGGCACCATTTGAGCAAGAAATGCGCCTGCACAATGCACTTTACTGCATAGGCGCCCCGCACCTAGTGAGCCTGTGCCTAAGCATTACCGTAAACTGCGCAGGCATATCACTTGCTCAAATGGCACCCATGGTAATTACACCTTGTGGGCAGAGTTATCCATCTTGTACCTTCGGTGCTATACGATCTTTGGTTATGAGTTGACCATGAAGGGTTAACTGTGACTTGGACAAACATAACTTGATGTGTGCAGAAACTTAGATTTGCTGTCAGTAAATTTTAAGACTGGTAATGTAGAACTGTGTGGGATGCTTTTCTTTTATGGAACATCAGTGACCCTATATGGAATTTGTTAGAGAAGAGTCTACAAAATGTCAGCAAACAAAAAGAGAAAGTTGCATCGCACCTTTTCTGCAGAATGCAGGCACAATACATGTCATTCATAAAGAGAACTGTCTGGTTTGTTTTCTAGGCACTGATCAACAAGCATACCTTCAACAGTCTACCTGCTCACTACCAATACAAACTACTTACTCTTCTGCCAAAAGTTGACAGAATACACACCAATGATAACTTCATTAAGTAAGTACTCATTTAAATTGTTTTAACCCAGGATCATTGTCTCTTACTATACTAGTGTGTATTTTAAAGGTGGACATTTCCACAAAGCATTGTAAATAGTAGTCAGTTTGAAGTCAGGAATTCTTAAGAACTAGGACTTGAACCAATGAGAATTCCATGGCAAATTAAATTGATGTAATTTTTTATGTTAGATCCAGACTGAGGAAAACATTCCTTCCTCTGAGAACAAGTTGAATAGTGTAATATGTTCATATTGTTAATGCTGTTTGTTTTCAGAATGAATACTTCAGCATTGGATAACGAGTTCTTTGCTAGAGCATGCAGTAAATGGAGGGAACGCTTGTCAGCAGGAGAGTTTACACCAGAATCTCAGCTAAGACTCAGACAGGAAATTGAGAAAGATATGATCAAGCTGGACCCATGGAAGGTATGTCTCTTCAAATACAGAGATATAAGGCTTGCATCAACATACCAGGCTCTTGAACTTCTGAGCTTTGTATTCTTCAGCATTCATTCCAGCCTGTACAATTTCAAGCATTATTGTTTAACCATAGCATCATGAATGTTGCCGGGTTAGATCTTGAAATCTGGCCTTTTTTCAATGAAAAATTTAGAGGCATTTTTAATCAGCTGACTTTGAAATGTCTCATTCTCTACCTGGCTGCTTGCATGTTAACACTTGACTGTTCTTATTGTATGCTCACTCGGGATGTGGTACCCATCTACATCCTGAAAAGGAATTAAATTTCTGACAGCTGTTTAACCTAACCAAATTATTCAACACAACGCATCCCATTGAAACAGATGATTTTCTTAATATGCTCTGTCTGCTTGTTCCTGCCGAGAACCTTTGATGTTTCTTCCCAATTTAAAAGACATTTCCTTTCATTGTCAACTTCCCATTCTCTCCATGGTTGTAGGCCAAACATTTTGAACCATCCTGGGGTCAGTCTCTTCTCGCCACTGCCCCTGATATCCCAGAATCCTTTGCAAGTATGGGCGTCATCCCGCCTGAAGAGAGGAGAGCGCCAGCCATGCATACTAGAAGCTCTTCCCAGAGGAAAGTAGCCGCAGTGAACTCCGTCAGTACAGTGTATCGTAACACCAGGTCAGCGACTTCTGGTGGTCACCATCATTACCACAAGTTGGGTTATGACTCTCCAAGACATCATCGGAGTATGTCAGCCAGAGAGAGTCGACGGATGCATCGTATGGCCCAGAAGGAGCTCAAATATCGAGCTTCAATGGAAGTCAAAAGCACTCCCAAACCAGGCCCTGTACCTAAACAACCAGATCTTAGATCAGTCATTGCGGATATCAATATCAAGCAGTCAACTAATAGCAGTTTAGCTTCATCACAGTCCAATTTCTCTTGTAGTTCTCTTCTGTCCAGTATGGCAATGGAAAGCCAACGAAATCAAGCTGCAGCAAATTTAGTGGCTTCTTCTTCAGCCTCGCAGTTGCTACCGAAATCATCTGATGGAAAAAATGTTGGTTCAATGAAGAGACACTTAGAAAGTACAGATGAAGGTACAGACAAGCGTCTATGTTTAGATGATGGTAACGTGGTGATGCTAGGTACACGTCAAGTGTCCAGAAGTCAGTCTGTGTCTACTCAGTCTTCCACAACAATTATCACTGCTGTCTCGTATGCTAATGCTTCACGGCAACAAACTTCAACCTCTGCAGTAGTGAATTCTGACAATAAACCCAAGGTTCAATCCAACATCAAATCATCGGTTAATGTCGGAAAGCAAGGGACAAAAACACTCGCTCAGATCAAGGCTCAGACTCAAGCCCGGGCACAGGCTCATGGCTCAACACGTACTTTGGCACAGATTAAAGCTCAGACAACGGCCAAGTTGTTGGCACGGTCGGCAGCTCAAGCAGAGGCACAAGCTAAGACAGCTAGTCATATGCCAACAATTTTAAGTCGATCACGATCTCCACAATGGAATACTGTCAAAACAGTGATTCCTGTTGCTCTGTCATCAAGCAATGCTGCAGGAAACATCACACAATCATCATCTAATCAAGGATCCAAACCTAAGCTACCCAATCATGTGCTACAAGTAAATACATCCACTCAGCAAGTTGTTCAAACCATTCAACCATTCATCATTAAAACTCAACCAGGAAGTAATGTTAGTGTCGTCTACGTAACCCAGCCAAATGTGGTAACCCTAATGCCAGCGTCAGCTGCTGCCATTCAGCATATGAATAGCAAAGGTCCAAGTCTTGCAAAATCAGTGTCCGTGGTTCAAAGCACATCAAGTTCTAAGGTAGTGGTTGAGTCTGTCCCACAGATAACAACTTCAGCTGGTGTATCTCAGAGACCAAACTCAATCAAAACTCTTCTGAACTTGCAAAATGTATCAGGAGAATCTTCAACCAGTGCCTCACCACAGGAAGAGAAGAGTGAAGGTCTTTCTAATGGGATTAGTCTGGAAACACCAGCCAACCAAAGTACGAATAAGCCTGAAACACCATCCTCTGAACCTCGAGTTGTGAGCACAAGTGAGGTCGTTGTCTTGGAAAACGAAACTACCTTTGCACAGCAGCAGATTGCATCAGCTAGTACTACTGGAACACCTGCTGTAGTCTCAGATTCATTCAAGATTGTAGCAAACAGTAATGCACAGGTGGATCCATTTTCAAATCGATCAACAGCAAGTGTTGTGCTTCAGCCAGTTGACATGGCAGCTAACGGAAGGGAGAGTGCTAATAGTTTAGATGCTTCCGGTAAATGTTCATGTCGCTTGGGGGCAATGGTTGTATGTAAAGGTTGTGGCGCTTTCTGCCATGATGACTGTATTAGTCCAACAAGTCTGTGTATGGCTTGTGTAGTGAGATAACTTTAAGCCATCTTCTGACCAAATTGAGTGTGTTTGTAGAACTAGAAGGTTCTGTGTAAGACAGTTTTTGTAAGTACAAAAAGTTTATAAAGCACTGTTAAAAATCTCTCATGTTTGGCTGATTGCATTGTGTATGTATTTTTATCCAATGTTGTGGCTACATGTTTTTGTACAAAACATGGGATAACCAACACAGCTCTTTGTGCATGAGGAGGGATGTTTAATTTCTTAGCATTAATTCAGATTGGAATAAAGTCTTCAGATTTAAGTTATCCTTCAAGGGGTACAACAGTTACATATTCATAACCAAAATGTTGTGTTTAGTGAAGTAAAAGCCTTTTTGGTTGTCCATTCATTACAAGCTCTACAAACAAGGTGTCACATACACGTAGCATTCCTTTGCCATTGTTCATCCTATCACTTGTGAAAGGATATGTGATGGAACCAAGAACAGCATGAGCTGAATACTTAAACCGTCATCAAACCTTCTTGCATAACTACACACATTTTTACAACCGAAGATAGAGCTAAAGAGCTGTAAGGACAACAATTTTTATAGTGGAATTTTAAGTATTGTGTTCAAAATTATTTTTTGTTGTTCAGTTCACACATACATATAGTCTCCATTCCTAGGTGCCTATCACTGCTAATTCATCAAATGAGCCAAGATTTATCTGAAAAGAAAAGCTTATCAAAGTAATGAAGAAGTGTAGCAGCGAAGGTTCTTTTGCCCCTGTATGCATGGGTATCAATTATCATGTAAATATCAATTGTATCAAAGTTGTACATTGACTGGCAGAGGATGCGACTTGATAGTAATGTCATTTATTGATTTTATATGAATACACAAAGATAGCCATCACAAGCAATAAAATACCAGTAATGTACTAGTACCTGTAACGTGCTATTATGGAAAAAACAAACAGGGCAAAGGTTTCTGAAACAATCTTATCCTGAATGTATCTTTGATTTGAAAAAAATGTTGCTTTCCAGTGGGTGGAACAGATGTAGGATACGACTTGCATTTCTGCATCTTTCATTTTTTTTTTTGCTCTGAACAATGATGTACGGTAATGTAGATTGGAGAGTTATGGAAAGTAGTCAAATAGGATTTAACTCTTTGGGACATCATGCCATACGTATGTTTGATTTTGTTGCAAATGTATTTTGTTTCTTATCATCTGTAATGGGTATATTTAATTTGTCTTCATTGTTTTATTTATTCATGACAAACGTGGAATTCTATTGAAGCATCAGTTTTGCTTTGCATGGCTTACTTTGTATACTTGTAGTGTATAGGGCTACATGCAGCTTTGCTCTGCATCTCAGTCAGATTTTCTTGACGGGGGTTTTCTTGATTGAAAAAATCTGATTCTAGAGTAATTTTATTTTCATTCCTCATACCTGCTAACCCAAAATGCCAAATATTTAAGAACATTGCATACATTTGTATGTGGATAATTCCAGAAATTAGGGTTTCATTTTTGTGTGTGTGTCCCTGTCACATCCGACATATGATGTTGTAAGTTCAGAACACATTTTCTAATTCAAGAAATCAAGTCCAGTGATATTTCCATGTCAAATAACAAAGGTCAGATGTAACAGGGACATGACAATGTCATACTTTTGGACCCCTAATTGCTGGAATTACCCATGTACATGTAAGTCTGGTACATATTGAATTTGCATGTTTCTTGCATGCATTCCTGTCATTACTAACTGCCAGACAAAAGACATTTTAGGCTTACACAGTGTGTTGTACTCATTTCTTGAAGATTGTCACATTAGATATGCAAATCAGCAAGGTATGTTGAGCTATATCAATTAAGTCTAATTAGCAGTGCTGTTTGCTGGTGGGAAATACTAAGTATCACTTTAGTCAGCCATAAATCAAGGATCATCAAAAATGTTAGCTACCGGTACTTGTATTCCATGTTGTAATTCACAATGCTCGAGTTTCGACCAAATCTAATTCTAATCCTACTATACTTACTGATTTCCAAGCATGTGGCAATGGTCACTTAGATCCTACTCAAATTGGATGTGTAATTACTCTTCAACAAGGCATTCATGTTTGGTGCTTGTACATTCTTGGGTTACCTTTTTAAAGACAGGTCATGAAAAATTGGGTTTTTAAAATTTGGTTTAAATACTAGCCACATTTCAGAAGTCATAATGGATAATAAGTGAAGATGTGTGAAATAAATCAATACATAACATTATAGGCAGATTTACTGAGTAATTTGTATGTGTAGTGCGAAATATAACCGACACTGCACAATATTTATCAGTGCAACTGAGAAACAAAATGTTTTCAGGAGGTAATGTGTGTGGTTGGTTATATTTTGTCACTACATAACCAAATCAGATCTGCTTCATTGAAAACATTTGTAACCTTTGTCAATAGAGCATTACGGTGTATATTGAAAAGTAGCGCAATTGAAGCATTCATCAATACATGTACATGTAATTTGTAATAAAGAAAATGTAAATGACGTGAAAACTCGTCTATTAGTCTCATGGCTGAACTAGTCATCCTCCACAGCTGTCGTTGCAAGTCTGTTGAAATCTCTCTACTCTGAGAGAAATGTCAGTTATACAAAGGCTTGACATATCCTTTGATAAAACTTTGATATGACATTTTAAACATGGATGAAATCCATGGCACATGAAATGCCAGCAACGATTAGTCATTGGGTATGTTAACTTTTCATGCAGGAAAACATTTTGACGCATTTTGAAGTTGAGTTCTGAAATCAATTGTCCCCTTTGGAGTGCAATGTAAATGTTGAGATTTATTTAAAGAACTTGGTTGGATAGCAACCATGAAATCATAAGGGAACCCACATCATCCATCAGGTGGGGAAGAAATTGTCTTCTGATCAGGCACATTGTTTGTCTGCACTGTAAGAGTTGGGAGAATAAGGATCCCTGAAGACTTTCTGTCCAAACATCTTATAAGCCTTCCACTATGGTGTTTACTATGTGGCTTTGATGAAAACAAATCTCAAGTATTCTACCAATCATGTCAAATTTATTGTCAAATACTATACAGGTAACTCCTATTACATTTCAGTTGTTTTATCAAAATTTCATACTGAAAGCAAGTCAAAAACTACGGCAAAGAGTCAGCGGATTTCCTTTTTTTGTGAGCCTAGAGCTGATTGACACTATACTCATTTAGCATGCATTTTTTGTGAATTCTCACGGAATTTGGCCCGATCAAAATGACAACATCCTGTATAAGTCTTATGATGCCACCATCAACCAGCTGAAAGGAAGAGAAATAGTCTGACTATCCATGCTGCTAAGGTCCATTTGAAGTGCCATTTTCCATATCAAATATGAAATCAATAACCAATAATGGCACGCTACCCAACTGTAGAATTGCATACCTGTAGAAACCCTACAAGCTCTTTGTATTGAAATCAAACAGCATGTAGATCTTTGATTACATTGTGATTTCTGCATGGTACTTGACACTACAGTTCATCTGAGTTATGCACAACACGAGTACATGCTAACTACAAATGTTAAGCTTGAAATCTAAACAGCTAATCTGTAAATTCTTTAAAATGTAGAATTAAAAAAAAGTTCAGGCACTTAGTTTATAGATAAAAGTGTCAGAGGCTGAACTGTATGAAAAATTTGTTGACAAACTTTGATTCATCTGAAACACACCTTCCCACATGGACTCCTGGCTTTTACTAAGTCTTTTATTTTAATTTTTTATGAATTCTTCCTTCAATAAAACCACTCTTGGTTTACCGCCCTTCTTTCTTCCACTGATTCTGCCAAGTACGCACAGAATTCAACCCCCATCATATTGTTGAATGATTCAATTGCCATCCCAATACTCAAAGAATTCTTCTCTCAGTACATTGTAGGTTCTCAGATGAATTGCCTTGTAGCGTTCCAAAGCAGGGTAAAACCTGAGACCAGTCAACAACTCAACATCCTTGATCGTAGCTGTGTTAGTCTCCATGTAATCACTCTGGCCCTAAGAACAAATAATGTTTGGTTATTAGTTGATTTTTTTTTCAATTGTTCCTTTACATAATTGAAAGATGTAATTTGAGGCTTTGCATAGGAGTATGTGTTCTGAAATTGTATCACAGCCAACGTTAGTCAGTTTGTTAACGGCAAGGTTATTTCTTGTACCTGACATGCCTGTATGCCATCTTTGTTATGCAGGATAAAGGCGAGAGGGATAAGGGAGGAACAGTCTTTGTTGATTGGTTGACTGTCTGTTGACGAACACCGAGTGATTATAGCAAAGTAGTGAGTTGGTATCATAGTGTCTCCCAGCTTTTCCCTTGGGGAAAAAAGAAATTAAAAAAATGTATTGAAGATGAAAATGACTTGTCTTTCATGTTGTACTACAACCTCTGGCCCTCAAGTCTTTTCTCTGTGTTTCTCTGAGCTGTGTGATGTGGAGAACTTGGAAAAAGTTGTCTCTTGGTGTTCAGCTGCTCTAAATTTAATTGGTTTGAGATCAAATGTACAACATGAGTTATATATCAATCTTGATTGAATTTTGATGGATTAGCAAGTTAAACTAGCTTTTGGATGACTTAGCATCCTAACCAACACATTTGGTTTAGTTGGGTTGAAGTTGGAACATATAAGCATAAATACTGTTACAAGAACAGATCACTGACCCCGTCCGATTCAAAACTTCCATAGAATCCCTGAGACCATCCAAGTCATAGTCGAAGATGGGACCAGTCACAATGTTGACACCATTGTACTGATCAGCCCATTTAGGGAGATAGTCATCCAAGTAACCGCTCCAAACATCTGCAACATGTTAGGAATTTTTTTTCAGAAAAAACTGTCTAAGAAGGCCCTGTGTCTTACAAAGTTTACCACTCACAGGCCACCAATTTACAACTGGTTTACTAACCTCAAAACAACCTCACAAATTTATAACAAATTGAGTAAGTTGAGTTGCTTAATTTTACCTCTTATAAATCCACTGAATTGTGGGACCAAGTTGGATGTGATCAGTGCGTCCATCTTGGCATCTAGTGTTTCTGTCAATCCTGGACAAAAGGCATCATGAAAGCCACTTTATGTATGACCAAAAAAACCAGTAACAATGAAAGTCTTGGAAAACTATTTTCTGATCAATGTATCTACATTGTGCTGAAGCAATAATGTACTGTGGATAGTTCCAGCATATTTGCAAAACTAGGGCATACACATTTGCTGTATCAAAAACAGTGAGGGAACAGGAAATGAATATTACTTTATTGGACATGCAAAGAAGTTTATGTTGTCTTTTTGCTTTCTTTTGCTATTGTTACATATTTTTGTATCTTTGATTTGTTTTGTTCTGTTTATTGTAAGTTTCACCCGATTCACCCTTTTTTAGTTACCTGGGGAGTAGGAAAAACCCATGGTTATATTTCTTGGATCAACGTCTACAGCAGTATCGGGTGCTTGAATGTTGTCGTAGTTGGTACAGTTGGGGGTAACATTTGCTCGAACACGGACATCAGTTCTGACACACTTCAGATCTGGAGCAGTATCTCGTGACTGAGAAAGAAAAAGAATAATTACTGTGGTGATTTGTTTTATATTTTCAGACTGAAATATGTGGAAGGAATGCACAAACGTAATGCTGGACAAGACTAAACCAGTACTATCATATGGGTTCATAATAAAGTAATTTATCTAATGGCAAATATTGTTATGGATATCACATACCACTTTCTTCTCAATTGTGAAAGAAGTGTAGAGAGGCATTTTGAGTTCATGGCTGTAAGCTGTAATGTAGTCAGTCTGAACTAACTCACAGAAATCAGTCTTAAATGTCACCTTTGGAACTCCAAACAAAGCGTGTTTAGTCTTTGCTGTTGTTACTGTGACAAGAAGAAGACAAAGAAACTGAAATAAATGATATTACAAATGAAGACTTCAATTGGAATTGTTTGGCAGTCACAGCATGGCAGAAAGATTTCAAAAGAGACTCTAAAAATGTCTCACCTTCACTTTCGGATAAATGCAGCTGCTCATCAAATTCTTTGATTGTTTTACTGGTGATATTCTGCAGGATAAGGAAATATTAGGTCAGGTTTTTATAAAGAGCAGAGTCTGAGAAACTTGACTTAATAGACAGTGTTGTTATTGACAGCTCATCAAGCTGTTTCGGTAAAGTGGGGCTTTTCCACATCTTCAAACTACATGTAAGATGATAAATTTCCATCTCTGTTGTAACTTAGCTTATTGTGCAATGGATAACCTCGTCATTATCATGAAAATCACTAGTTCGTGATACACTGAGATTTACTCACAGCTACTTTGTCTGTGCATGTACACATGGACTGATCCATATTCAGTCTGTCTGTATAATCATGATCAGTTGCAGGGTAAGGACATGTCAGAGATGATGAATAAGATGATTCATCAATAGGAGGAAGAGGTGGTGGATTCTCCAGGATTTTATGAAGACGGCCATTCTCACCATCATTAACTGGTGCTGGTATACCCAGTACATCTGTTCAAGAAAGGACAGACATAACTTGTCAATTGATGGATCAAACTTCAAACAAATTAGACACAAAGAAGATTTATCTAAGTTGATGACAGACATGCCGGTGTAAGAATCCAAGGCAGATGAGCCAAACTTTTGGGGTGTCAAATATTTTCAGGTTAATCTTTTACGGCCCTTCTGATGGATGAGAGTACATTTAGTGCTGTTTAAACTATTTCAGAAGAGTCATGAACAAGCTCTAAAACTCTCCTTTCTCTCATTATTCAAAAAAACTTTTTGTCTGTTTGTCTTTTTTCTTGCGGGGGCATGGCCCAGGTGACTCTGGATCTGCCATTGATGAAAAATGAGAAATGTTTCAACTTACCACACATTACGTTGAATAGTTCGATATTCTGGAAAGGTTCTATCTTTAAGTTCTTCTTAAATGCTGGACCATATGCAAGAAAAAGGGCCTGTTAGCAGGAGAAAATTACAGCAAAAGTTGTTAAATGCACACAACGAAAGACAATAATGTCTATCACATTTGCCTTGAAAGGCACCGTATTTAATTAGTGCTAAGACTACATACCTGCATCTGTCTGGCCAAGTTATCATATCCATGACCACCACCATCACAATTACTAGGAAGATTCACACTGTGAATTAAATCGTTCAAATTATATTAATTAAATCTATTTGAAACTGCCAAACTGCTGCTGTTCCAAGTATAAACTTCTGGAACATGAAATTATCACACAATGAAGACACCGTGTTAATGTTTCCTTTGTATAAATTTTTTAAAATTTCATAATTGATCAACATATACCAAGTGTTACAGGGACCAAACACACGTTCTAGAATAAAAGCATACTTAAATTTCATATTTACATGTATATTCTCTTTTTTCTATGATATATTGCAGTTAATTAAATAAATCAAGATCGTAGTTTTGAAGCATTTATAATGACAGTATATTCCAGAGGTACAACCATTTTCTAGTGAGTCCTGAATGAATTCACTTACTTGGTTATTGCGTACTCCTCTTTGACTGGAATCAATACATCTTCAATACGACGACTGTTCATGTAATGCCATCTCTTTGGCATGTCTGTCTTAACATATGGGATAACTTTAGGATCTCGACACTATCCAATACAAACAGGATAATCAGTGTGACATTTGAGTTAGAGCAAAAACACAGTACAACACAGACAAAATCATGATTACACAGGTTCATCATCTTTTGTCAATGCCGAATCTGAAATTAATATTACAATAACAATACTATATAACATTGTGTGCAAAAAGTTGATGAAAATAAAAATCAAGAACAAATAACTGTAAATACAATCGATTAGTTAAGTTCAAATGTTAAAACGAAGGAAAATACTTCTTACCATCAACCTGTTAACAATATCCCTTGGTTCTTTCAGTGCAGCTAAAAACAAATCAATAAACCATAAATAACATTTCCAACATTGTTTTTCAACAAAGAGAAATGTACACTTTTTGACCTCCATTTTCTTCAGTATCAAACTTTGAGGACCAAAATCCTTTTGAAATTTTTTTAAAAATCTGCTGCAAACTTTCATCATTAAAATACCAAGTTTAAGGAAACTTTATTGACAACTCACCATTTGTACGTGGAGTGTATCTCATCATGCAACCTGCAGTTGATCTACCGTAATATTCACTGGTTGGAAAATTGATGCCATTCTTCTGAAATTTCAAGGATTATTTTGTGAAATAAGACTGCGGACTTGAAATAAATTGCAATAATCATAATTCTCAGCTTTTGGATTCCAAACTAACTTGTTCAAGTTTCTTGGAATAACACAAATTTCCCATGTACAAATTGCAAACACAGATTCAGGACAGTTTATCTGAATGTTTTTTCTTAAAACTCTTTGATTGTAATATTCAGAAAATATTTCAGAAAACCTCAACACAACAGTTTTGAGGCGTAGTGAAAGACAACCTTGTAATATAAAGCCCACACATGATCATCCACAAATGAATGGAGGAGAACGCTCCCAAATAAATTTCCTTTCATAACAGCTATCCCAGGTCATATAAACTGAAAACAAAATAAATAAGAACAGGCAAGAAAATTTTAGAGAAAACCAACAATATACTCACATCAGCCAACTTGATGTAATGGCTACAATTTCTGTCAGCCATTCCATGATCAGCAAGAATGATAATATTAATACACTGATGCATCTTGGTAGCAAGTATTGCATCCATTAAATCAGCAATGTACTTATCAACTTCTTCAAGTTTGTCGTTAACCTGTAAGAATGTCATTTAAAAGTATCAGAGGATGACCATTTGCCTGCCAAATAAGCAAGCTACAAAGATATTTTTGCTCTACATGCATTTTTGGTAGATTTTAGTCATGTATTTGTGATTTTTTGCCTTGTATTATCTTCAGTTTTGTGTTTCTGCTGTGATATTGATACAAACTTGTAAAAAGTCATCAAATCACTCAACAGGTATTATTACCACACATACACAAAATTTGTGGACAAACCGTTGGGTGTTTGGTCAAAATAACGCCAGTCACTGAAGGCACGGTAATCATTTTATGGTCATAATTCCTTGAATAGCATTACTATACCTGTTGAGAATTTGGTCCAAAGATATGAGCTTCATGATCTGGTTCATTGAAGTACAAAGTGATGAAATCAGGCCTAAAAATAGATGAATATAAAGGCTTTTACTAAAACATTGTAAGATGGCTGGATAACATTATTCAGACAGTGATAAGAGAATTAGTACAACCAATTAGAAATTCATCAATTAAAGAACCAGATTAACAAATGCAGATCTAGATCAAATGATGGCTCTTAATTTTTATCAGCGTACTTGGTTTTGAGGGGGTGGTTTCAGCCAGTGGTCATCACAGTTGGGCCAGATTACAGCTCTCACTAATGTTATCCTTCACAGTTTTATTACAATTGCTGCAACCTGACCATGTTTTTAATAAATGTAAAGTGACACAGAACTACTTAAATGAACTTCAAACTCTTCTGGTCTCATAGCTTAAGTCAGGATCCTGCAATGTTCTTTAGTTGCACCCACCTCTTTCCAGTTGGAAGTTGCAGCCATCCCCGAATAGTGTCAATTTTTTGCTCAGGTGTGATGTTGCTGGAGAAGAAAATCAAACAGTGATAAGCATCAAACATTTCTAATTGTGTCCTGTTCATTCCTTCAGTAATTTCTTCCTTCATTTCTTGCTTTTTTGACTGCTATGACAAAAATAATTTTATGTAATTTGTTCTTGTCGAAGGCTGCAAAACAAACTTAAATTCAGGGAAAAAAGTTTATAAACTCAACTTACTTAGTGTACACGAAGAAATAGTCTGGTCTCATATCTGCAAATTCAGTGAGAGGTTATTTTAAAAATCAGATTAAAACAAAAGTCTGAGTTTGACTGTAATAAGTTGTCTTTGTAGGTGATTATGCCATAAAATTGGTGAAACCTTTTATACTTTTACCAAAAAGTGTTCATATAACATGACGTTACCTTGGATATCAACATCAGATCCTACCCAGAAATAACAACCTGTTCGTAAACCATTCTTCTTGGCTGTGTTCCATATCTAACAAAATTAATATATCACAAGAAAGACCAAACGGGCATCAATATGAGGCATTTAAGTTGTTAACTCCCTCACTTCAAACATGAATGTAGTTTATCCCTTCAACTACAAGCTAAACCATTTATGATAGTTATTTATTTGCTGTTACTATAATTTTTACCCTCTCTATGGGTTATTATAAGCCAAGCACTTACTGGTTCTCCATAGTACCATTCCTTTTTTCCTGCCTCAGCACTACCAATGTAATAAGATTTTTTTGTATCAGGATCATACATTGAGTTGCCAATTAGACCATTGTGTTCAGGATACAGTCCCTGCAATAAATCAATAGACATTGATAAATTGTTACAGGATGGATTTGAACCTCTAACCACTAATTGCGGTACCATTACAGTTTCCCTCACCTATCACGTGACATTTTTTCATTTTCAACCTTTCACTGTGAAATCTATACCACTTACGGTGGCAATGGTGTAGTGATTAGGAAAAGTCACTGAAGGAAAAGATGGAAGCATGTAAGGTGCATGTGTTCCACAGTCACCTACAATGGAAGAAAATACACAGAAATCAAACTAAGAAGTATCTTGCTAAAAAAAAACCACAAAAGTTTCTCCTTTTTATCTGTGGATGGAATGTTGGCATGATCCCCAATGCTATCTGTAAAAGATTGGAAGATGGATGGTGTCTCAAGATGATTCATGGTAGCTCACATTCAAACCATCATCACAGGTCTGAACAAATATGTGAAAATGTAATTTTTAAAACTAGATGTCTATGGACCAAGTAAACTTGATGGTAAGCTGCATGTAGGTTTTGAATTTTTATTTGATAATACCTTCTTTTGTTTTTTTAATGTTTATCTCTAAGTTTGGCCATCTGGGCAGAAGGCTTAGACTGGAGTAGACTTACTGAGTCTCTTGATATGTTTAGTGAGTTTTCTTCTGAGGTAGTCTGCTCTGAAGCCATCTAAGGAAACTAAGAGTAGTGGAGGTCTATCAACACTGTATAAGAAAAGGAAGACACCATTAGTGATCTTTTTAAGGAGAATTTTTCAGTTTTGTTGTTTGGTTTTCTTTCTGTATTCTTTCTTTTTTTTGTCCCCTCATTTCTGAGAAGTCATAATCTGAAACAGTCATTTAAACCAGTACAGATCAGCAGGTTGAGGTGTTAGGGAAAGGTGGCAAGGCCTTACATCACTTGGGGAAACTACATGAAATATAATTTTGGGTGGGTCTGTTTATTAAATACATTCATCAACAAACTGACATGTTGTTTACAAAATACAAATTACAGTGGCGAACACAATAGAAAATTGTAAGCATTTTATTTACAGAGGACAATTCTTGATCATAACGAGAATTGGACTTACCCAGGGGGGCAAATTGGATCATATCCAGTTACACAAGGTGTGTCAATCCAGTGGTCAGCTAAGTACAAAAGTACAAACAAACACTTCAAGAGTTGAATCAAAATTATCAAAATGATGAGATCAATGTTTTCAAACACATAATATAATATTTCATTATCAATTCAGAAGTACTCTGGTCTCACATCCTTCATCACTACAATATAAAGCTGTCAAACATATCAATCAATCTTGAAAGAATCGTCAGCTGTCATTTTTAGAGTAGCAGTAGAGAACGATGGAATACATGTCATAGAGACAGGTTGAGACACGATGAAAAGAATCTAGCTTAGATGATCGACAAAGGGAAGAAATTTTATTCCATTGGTAATTAGGCACATCATTTAGACATCATCAAAATGAAATACTACAAATACCTGGTTTTGCAGTTGTTTCCGGTACTGGCTTTCCTGTAGGAGGCATCGGTGATGAGTGAGTTGGAGAGGGAGGCCGGGGGACACCACTTCCATTCCATATGGCATATCCAACACCTAATCCTATCCCTAAACCACACAGTATAATCAGTGACACCTAGGTAGGGAATAAACAAAAGATTGGTGACAATAAAGGATGAATAAGGAAAGAAGGGGTAGCGCTTGAAAGAAGGGGGTTATGAACTGGATGTTTCAACATTGTCATGAAAATATTTATAATCTCCTTCATATAAAGTATCCAAACAAACCACCAAAAAGAAAACCAAACTTTTAGTTCACTTACAAATTAAAAAAAAAACTGTGGAAACAATTAAGTTACTCACTGCCACTCCTATGTAGATGAACATCCTGGTTGCATCTCTCTAAAATGAAATGAAAAATCATCATTCACTTCAGGAAAAGGGCATGACATGCTTGTGCATAACAAAAAAAATCAGCTTTCGAGAAGAGGTTTTCTAGCTCAATATCAACAAAATTGACCACACACATCAAATTGGGAAATTATAGTACTAAACTGTGGTGCCAAGTAAACTTTGTGTAGTCTAAATGCACTTATTATTCTTTAGTTGTACCTTAAACATATGCTTCTTCTGATCTTCCTCCAGATCATACTGAAGCTGCATTTCAGTTGTCATGGTGAAACACTTGGAAAATGAAAATTGGAAAAAGCAAATTCAAATTACAAATTATAACAAGCAGATCAAAACAGCAGACTACACGCTACACACTAGTAAAAGTTGTGTGAGCAATATACACGAGTTTGCCAGAATTTATTTGGGTATGTTTATTTTGGTTTATGTATCACTCTGTTTCAAGTCATGAAAAAACTCTTCAGTATTTGGACATCCTTGATGTCCAAATACCTTAATAATTTTGCCCATGGTACCAGAGACACCTTTGCTAGAGCCTTTCTCAATGTCACATAGTTTTAATGGCCATCATTGCATTATTTTATTCTTTATCCATGAGCAAAAAGAACAATTTTTGAGTCCGAATATATCTAATCACAAGTTTTCAAAGTGCCAAGAGCATTTCTTACCAATATTACAAAGTTCAGTCTGCCAATTATTTACCAAAAAAGCATAGGCCTAACGTTTAAGTTTTGTAATCAGACAAAGTCACACTTTGGATGACACAGGCGAGCACATGACTATCTTTTCGAACCAGGATGTAAGGGCCTATCATAAATGTAAATGCAACCTTCATGAATACATATACTTGGAGGTCAAAAACCAATAAGAATTAGCTTCATTTATCAATGTGGCAGTTGGTACAAAGTGGTACAAATAAATCAATGTATGAACCTCAGAACAAATAAAGGCCAATATCTGTGATACTGAAGTTTTTTATATTACAAAATCTGATGACAAAATGCTATGCTTGTTGTTTGCACTGAAGATAAAAACAAACATGGCAATTAGCTATGCAAAACATACCACTAACACAAACACTATTTATTTCCAAAACATCATTTAGTAGGATAAAATGGCAGCATCAAAAAGAAACTTCTTGCAAAGTACTTTGATGAATGGCTGGCTGCAGTAATGGGAAAAGCTGCAAAATTACCAATTGAAAGAGAAAATAGCACTCATTATTGCTCCTAAGTCAAATTCAAGGAATTCTAGCCCATTTGTTTTTGAATCCTGCTATGGCTTAGTTGTAGCATTTGTGTGTGAGTTCTAGCAAGTTATAAACCTACCTGATTCTGCTAACAGTTCTCATTCGTACTCATGAGCAATAACAGTCACCCAACCAATAACCACTTCCGCTATTCTGGTTGAAGATGCAATGAAATTTATATTCTAATGTATGGAAATAGAGGGAAGGAAAAGATGAAGAGATAACTCCATGGTCAAAGTTTAGGGTTCTGAATCAATAAGGCCTACACCTGAGTCATGATGAACTGTTTGGATTACAAGCATTTAATCATCTTGTAAGTCAATATATATCTGTCTGCTTGTGTGGACTTTCAAATTAAACCCAAGTGCAATGCCTAGTGCAATCTGTAGCTTTCTGATGAAGTTGTGAACACTTAAATGCATGAAATGTCAAGAAGGGCTGGGAACTTTGCCTGTAGTTTTGCCAAGTGCAACGTTAAATAACACATTTATTGTACTAAAAATAGACATTTGTTAGGCTTGGAAGCCAATTCAGAGCTACAGGCTGCACTCTGCCCAGTATCATCACAAATCATTGAAATCATTACATCTTTGCTCACCTACCTCACACTCAGCACGTCCTCTCTCTGTTCACACCCCTCTGGATTGAGTGACTACATGTAGTTAGGGGCCAACTGAGATTATTTCAAAAGACTTAGAAAGTCAACACATTGAAAATAAGTCAGAAATGGATAAAACTGTGATCACATCTACTTCTACAGCATACAGAGTGCTTTATTCTCAATTCTATAATTGAATTATGAGTTCGAAGGAATGGGCAAAACTCATGTCAATAAACCTATGGGAGTTTGTATGTCATAATACAGTCAAATACAATGTACTTTTAGTAGATCCGGTTCAGAAGGTATGGGCGAGTTCAGATGTCAAGTAAAATAGGAGGTTAACTTTATGGCATATGCTTTTTTTTCTTTTCCCCCCATATCTACCAGCCCAGAAGACATTAAATCCCCTAAACCACCTGTAGCTAGATCTACCAGAAATATTTGGAAATCAGGACACTGTTAAAAGAGCTACTTGCAGGACAGATCCTAAATTAAATACAAACAACATCACTGGGAACTATATGTATGTGGTCATAAAAGCAGAGGCCCACAATACATAAACAAATTATGCACAAGGGAATAGGGGCCGGAGAAAATATGTAGGATAAAAGTGAAAATCTCATTGTAAAATTTTTCAACGGAGAGGTTTTCAAGAATGCAAAGACAAGTAACCAGGAAAGGTCTTTTCAACACAAACATTCATGCATGTTAGTTTTCCCACACCACTTCAAAAAGCAATAAATCAAGCATTACACTTAGTATAATGTGAGTTTCCTTTATTAATTCCCATGTGTGCAGTGATAATTAATAGTAAAACTGAACATCAATAATGACAACCAAACAGGTGATTTGACTGCATCCATCAAAAAATAAATTTTATTTTGATAAAAAAAAGTCAGAACATAAAACTAGTCATTAAAAGTAACAATTCACACACAATCGGTCAAGCATAAATGATCACGGACTGTTCAATAATTCCTTTTACCCCTACAGGGTAAAAGGAATTATATTCAGCAAACTCTCTTCATCCAAATGCACAGCCGGTTTACAGTCTTGTGTGCAACTGGTCAACAGGTGAATACATCTCAGTCATCAATCTTTGTCATATTTGTGTGCATTATTTAGGCCCGGCCGGTTATAATAAGGAATAATAATTCAAAGTGCGAAGGTCACAGGCATGCAAGTTCTATGCGAGAGAACTTTGAACCAAAACAAGTTCTCTTGGGTGTGCGTCAGGATGATTTGAAGTGCAGCCAGTGGTAATAGTGTGACCATTTATTTACTAACATTTCTGATAACTGGTATATAATCTGGTACCCGGATGAATAAAACTTCAGGCTGTGGCATGAAACTCAATGATTTGTTGTCTGGCTGCTTTACTTTGAGTCTGTGAGTAGACCTATAACTGTGAGTATCTCAATTTCCTTTCAAAAAGATCTGAATTCAAAATCATGGCACAGAGTTCAGTGCTCATCTTCATCATCCTTTCCAAAAGCATACAAAACACACTCTATCCTCCGATTCCTCTGAGTCCTCCCCCAAAAAGTGTAAGGAAATGCTGGAGGCCATGATTTTTGCCAAGTTGCTGAAAGCATATACAGGATGTAAACCCCCTTCCTTGCCTACGAAAAAAGTGAGCTCCCCTTAAAATTAAGTCTATTCAAAATAAAATTATGAAAATTAAAAATTAAGAAAAATAAGATGAGGAAATTACTAGAATTGACGAATTATCAGTTTAACTTGTACATTGAAGGTTGCTATTTACATAACTGTAGTGAATAAAACTCTTTGCACAAGATTATTTGTGTGTGTCAAATGCAAGACACGACAAATTGTTCTTTTTCAATCAGCATCAGCGCCATTAAACAAAGAATATGAATTATCCCACCACAGTGCTATCTTCCAAGGTTCACAAACAGACCATATGCCCATCATGCATTATTAACATTACATACTGCTTTGAAGTCTCCAATCAGAGAAGAGCTGATTTGCTGCAACACTGAATGTTCTAAGACGTATGGATTCATAACGTTCCAGGTCAGGGTAAAAACGTAAACCAGTCAAGAGTTCAATATCCTTAACTGAAGCAACGTGAGTCTCCAGGAAGTCAGGGGTCATCTATAAATATGTCAAAAATAAATTTGATTGTCAAAGGCAAGGGAATGTAACTCAAAGAAGAAACAACTCATTACACATTTTTAGGACCAGATCTTGTTGGATAGCAAATTGTTGATCTGTATTTTCAGAAGTGTTCTCCTCTTTCTTCATTCCCTTGAATTTGTGAACAAATATAATTTCCTTATAGTACAGACTGCGGTAACACCATGTATTTATCTCTTCCTTGAGTATGTGTGGTTCTGAGAAGAACCGGGGAATAACTCGATGTTTCGAACAGTGTACTCTGTCCGTCTTCAAGAAACTGCTATAAATCTAGTTTCTTTCACCATGAAAACCTTTAAGTCTTATATAATTTCTTTATTCTGAATACTTAGTGTCCTTCAACGTAGAAACCTTCTTTTACCCTAACATATCTCTCACCTGACAAGTCTGAATGCCATCTTTGTTCTGAAGAATGAATGATAAAGGTTCCAGTTTGTCACAATCAGCATCATCAACAGCTTTGCCATCATCCACACAACGGTTGATCACAATAAAGAAGTGGGTTGGGACAAATGTGTCATTGAGTTGGGCACTGTAATAACAAATAACATTAAGCAATGAGCAATAAGTAAGCAATAAGTTCTGATGTGGTGATTCTATTGGAGCCAGTTACTTGCTGTGTACATACTCAACTTCTGCTGTATTTTTGAAATGGAAGAAAATCTCCAAGCCCAATATGTAGCCGAATCTGACTTTGAATGTACCATTTACACAGTGCATTTAATTCTCTTAATATTTTTACAGTAGGCTTTCATGAACTTACCTTGGTGTTTGCGACAACAACTCCAGAGAATCTCTAAGACCATCATAGTTATGATCAAAGATAGGACCAGTGATGACGTTGATACCATTGTACTCATCAGCCCAGATGGGAAAATGAACATCAAAAAAACCACTCCACAGATCTACGAAGAAAAATCCATTACAATCGGTTGAATAAATTAATTATAACAGTTGAATCAAGATGGTACACAAGAAGCTTAACACTAGATGTGGTTAGAATTCCACTGACTAAAAAAAACCTGCAACAAATTTAAAGAGACTAGGACATGTCAGATGTTCAGACCGGTATTTTAAGTGTAATCGAAAAGACTGCTTATTAGCAACATATAATAGCACATTGGCCACCGAGGAATATGTAAACTAATCAGGAGAGGATAAATAAAAATTACCTTTAATGAAACCTCTGAACTGTGGGACCATGTTGGAACTGATTAGTGCATCCATTTTGGCAGTCAGTGTCTCTGTCAGACCTAGATTGGAAACAAATTTAATGCTGGAAGGTGGTGACAAGAAATTTGCTGCTTTTAGGTGTACATGTATATTGTTTGGTATTTTCCACTTCAAAAATGTTCAGAGTAATTTGAAAATAGTGCTAACCATTACCAATTTATAAGCTGGGCTGAGATTTTAGTTTGTAAACCAGACTCAAATAACTATCAACAACGCTATGCTTACCAGGTGAGTAGAGGAAACCTTTGGTAATATTGGCCCAGTCTCCTGTTGCATTGTCAAGGTCTGAGCAGTCAGGAGACTTTGCATTAGGAATACGGACATCAGGTCGAGTACAGTTAGAAAACACTGGTGCCGTGTCCCTGGACTGAGAGAAGAAAGTCTTCACATCATTCTTGTTAAGATGAGTCAATGACAATACTAACCCAGTAGTAAACTAGATGATATTTTATGAAGTTAGGTGGGTATAGAACAAACAAACCCGAACTATAAAGCGGTATTAACCCTCAAAGTTTAATTCCCGAGTCTGGCTAAAAATCGATCCAGATAAAATTCAAGGGGCTTATCCAGAACCACTTTTTTTTAGGGGGGGGGTTGAACTGTTTGGGGAGGGGGGGACCAAAATTGGAAATTTTTGCTTGTACCCTTTATGACATTTCTGAAGGGTACAATTTTGTGTTTTTTTAACACACTTTTGGAAAATAATGTCTTTTCTAATTATTTTTCAGTGCACAACATTTTGGCACCAATTTCTTGTTGGGGGGCTATGGCTCCTGTCAGCCCCCCGATCTTCCCTTAGATTCGGATACTGTGCAAAAGAAATCAGTATGGCTGATGACAGAATCATGCAACAGCATTTAAAAAAAATTACACATACAATGGCAAAAAACTCACCGTCTTTTTGTCCATTGTAAATGTTGCATACAGTGACATCTTCATCTCATGACTATATGCTGTGACATATTCAGTTTGCACTAACTCACAGAAATCAGTCAAGAAATTCACTTCAGGCATTCCAAAAGGTACATGCTTTGCTTTGGCAGCAGATTCTAATATAAGTAAGAGAAGTAAATATCCAAGATGACCTTGGAGTGAAGGAATTGGTAAGTATGAACTCTAATAATCAGTGCTGTAATAAGGAATTCCATGATGCCAGGAGAAAATTTGATTGAAGTAAACTACAAGCTTTGCATAAAAAAATAAACTTGATGAATGGACATGTATTGTTGTCAAAGAAAAAAAATTGAATAAAATTACAAGAAAAAGTTTCCATAACTATAATAAACCACAAATATACAAATTAATGATAATACACCCCCATTGATTCCTCACAAGTTTATTTAATTTGGGAAGGTTAAAGCAACTCATTAATTACTTACGCTGACTCTCAGTTAAATTCAGGTGCTTATCAAAATCTTCAATAGTTTTCGTTGTTCCATCCTGAAAGTATAAAGAGTATAAAATAAATAGACACTTTAGTCAAAATTTCTTCAGAAAGATTTCATCTTCCACTATGAAATATCTACTTAGAGATACATTCAACTTACAGGTAGAGTTTCACACATGCACATTGATGTATCTTCATTGATCCTGTCTGCATAATCTTGATCAGAGGTAGGGAAGGGGCACACCAGTGGAGATGACAGACTTGAATCATTCTTTGGAGGTAGATTTGGTGGTTCAAAGAGTAAATGATGGAGACTACCCACCTCACCATCATTAGGTGGAGGGGTGATGCTCAAGACATCTAATCAATCAGATTGGAAAAAAAATCTGAGAATTTAAAACAAACATTCAGAAATCTTGAAAGACAGGACACTAAGAATCATTGCATGGACAGGTTGGATCATCAATTAAAAAAATATATGTGCTCATCACTAGAGGAGGTATAAATGAATCCAAGCACTGCTGACAGATGCAAAAGGGATATAACTCACCACACATAAGATTCATTAATTCAACATTATGGAAAGGTTCAGTCTCATAGTTGGCTTTAAACACTGGGCCATAAGCAACAAACAGAGCCTGTTGGTGAGAAAAGTAATCCAGAAGCAGAAAAGTGAATAACAAGCAATAAGGACCATTTGTTTAACACTCTTAAATAAAACAGGCAGAGTGACCTATCACAAAGAAATGAAATCCTACTAACGAATGCATGACAGGAACGTTCCATTTTGAAATAGCAGGTGACCTTATGACAAAGTCAACATAATTCTTCAGGACCAAAGTTCTCCCACAATCACAATAAAGATAACCAACAAAACAGAATCCAGACTTACCCTCATCTGGTCCGCTTTAAGGTTATCATACCCATGACCACCGCCATCACAACCACCTGACGGACCACTGTTAAAACAAATCATATTCATGTGCTAGGCATGAATTAATATTTGGACAATGAAACACTAATCATTTTATTTTTCTTACTTAGGAAAGAAACTAATTGCATCATGCTGTATGCTTTACATCAACCACATTCGATCTCTTATACAATATTGAGAAGAGGATGACTGGAGACATAATTTTTTAACAAATATAGATAAATAACTCTGACAACAAAAGACAATGTCATTCTTACTTTGATATAGTATAGCCTTGCTTCACAGCAATTAGTGTATCTTCAATGCGTACATTGTTCATGTAATGCCATCGCTTGGGTGTATCTGTCTTGATATAGGCAACAGAACCCGGGCTGATGCACTATAAACAAAATGAATTCATATGCAAATCAAACAGAAAGTGCACTTAAATGAAAGGAAACCTAGGAAATCATTAGCTATTTTCTATCTATTCCTTTGAGTAATTTGTATTTTTGTGCGATGACTGACCTTTAGGTGCTGTACTATATCTTCAGGTTCACTGATAGCAGCTACAAGAGAAGACAATGAAAATATTGAAAGGATTCAGGAATCACTTCACGGGAAAATCATTCACTTGTTAGTTCTAACAAGTGTTTTTGAAAGAAACAACAAAGGGGGTCTAGTAATCTTAAATGTCATTTCAAGGACATGTATCTAACTAGTTTGTTATGGTCTGTGAGTCGAAATCTTTTAAATTTACCAAATATTTGCAGTCTTCCCTACTTCTTATAGAGTACAGATTGGAATACTTCCTACTCACCATAAGATTTGGGGTCATATCTCATCATGGTTCCTCCACTGCTCCTTGAGTAGTAGTCACCAGTTGTAATATACTTGAAACAAACACATCAAACAATGATATACAGTTAAGTGTAAGGACTTCTATTTAACATGTGACTACAAACAGATCCAAAAACAGCCATATTTTTGGAAAAACGTCTGACAATTTATTTCTCCAAACTTCCCCATAATCACTACACCTTTCTGTACAGATTGCTATTGCTAATATTGGAGTACTATGGAAACCAACCAATAAAAGGTAAACCAACCAACATGTGTACTTACATCTTGTAGTTTAATGTTGAGTTCACAAGATCGGTTGGCCATTCCATGATCAGCAAGAACAATGATATTAGTACAATTCTCCATGTGTACCTCTGTGATAGCATCCATCAGATCACCAATGTAAGAATCAACCATTGCGACAGCTTCATTTTGCTGTGAAAAATATGAAATTACACACAACATCAAACTTTGTACCAAATCTTGATGCATGCTGCATATAATTTTGAATAACCTGTCTTTTCTTCCAAGCCAAGGGACAAGCTGAATGATCAATGATTTGGAATCAATGATACGTCCCTTTTGTGTCTTGATCATAAAAGAAGGAACAAATGTATCAGCTGACAGACCTCATTTGAATCTGGTCCATAGTCATGGCCGGTGTGATCAGGTTCGTCAAAATATAAAGTGATGAAGTCAGGACTAAAACGAAGAAAGAAAACAAAACTTGAAAATATCAATATATGAAAAATTTTGTTCACAAGAAATATTTCTTAAAGATTTTATTTCAAGGTACTTACCGCCTGTCGTTAGGAAGTTTCAGCCATTCTTTGATCTGATTAATCTTCGTTTCAGGTTTTGTGCTCCTACATGATGAAAGGTTTTATTGATGGCATTAACTCACACATGCAATGAAAACAATTTGAAATGTTCAGTATCATATTACCTTACATCCCATCTCTGTTTCAAAATAATTAGAGCATCAATATCCCAAAACAAAATGTAAACTTACCCATCATATACAAAGTAGTAATCAGGTCGCATCCCTGATTAAACAAAAAGAAACTGTTTCCTTGTGATTATTGTCACATTATGGCGACCAAATATAGGGCTCTTGTCTTTCCCCCCCAAAAGCGGCTAAGCTGGTTCCAGCTTTCCAGTTGCAGGTTTTAGATCTCAGTTTCACAGCAAAAATTAGAACATCTTTTGAAGTGTGAATGATTTGATCTATTCTAGATAAGGGTAATTGAAAAGTGTCCAAATTTCTCTACAATTTTGGATAGAAATTCACCTTGAATCTCAACATCGGAGCCAACCCAGAAATAACAACCTGTAGTTAGCCCTTGCTTCATAGCTGTATTCCAGACCTACAGAAATGTCAGACAATAAAATAAGATAAGCATTAAATTTCAGAATAACTTGGGGAGGGCTGGGAGAAAATTCAATAAGTGCATGGCTTTTCCATAGATTCAAAGGAAACTAGCTAGCTAGGGCCAAGATGTAATTCAAGTGAAATTGGAATTTCACTTGAGTTTCTCTTAGTTTCCCCTCATTACTCATACAGAACGTAATATAAATATATATACAAATAACAAATAATCTGTACTTTACCGGTTCACCACCATACCAGTAGCTATTAAACTTCTCATTTCCAGAAATAGAGAAGGATTTCTTGAGAACTGGGTCATACATACTGTTTCCAATGAGCCCATGATGCTCAGGTAGAAGGCCCTATCACATAAAGAAAGCACAAAAAATGGTGGGTTAAGGGAAATTTCTTTCAATGAGGAAACGTCTATTTTCTTAATACAATTAAAATCTTATAGAAGATTTGCATGTGAAAATTATGAAGTAGGCTGCAAAATACATAAAGTTCACAAACTCAAACTTGAATGAGTAAAAGTGGAAGCATAATCAAGAATATACACTGGCACTATTAGTTTATATCAAGAAGAATTATGAAATTGAAAAATTACAGTACCGTGACAATGCTGTAATGATTTGGAAATGTCAAAGTTGGAAAGGCAGGATACATGTGGGGTGCATGGGTTCCACATTCACCTAATAAGAAAGGATAAAAATAACAAGCACCGGTACACTAGAAACTGTGTCATCATAACTTCAAGAATTGATCCATTCATTTTTCTGTCCTTTTGCAGTTAGCCAATAATACAGTCAATTAAATCTAGAGTGTTTTGTGTGTCAGACACACACATGATTGAAGGTTGTATGACTACTTGAAACCAAAAGTAAACTGTATGCTGGTATCAGAACTGACAGTGTGGGAAGACACGGGAGCCATTCACAAATACAAAAATTCCAGGTGGTATAAACTTTGTGATTGATTCTCACATCAAGAAAATGACAAAAGAGAGGACTTACTAAGTCTCTTGATATTAGGTGTAATTCCTCGTTGGAGAAAGTCATAACGAAATCCATCTAGAGACACCAAGATCAGTGGTGGCCTGTCAACACTAAGATTCCACAAAGAGAAACACGTTTATAAAAATGATGACATTTTGAAATAATTGGGTGGAAGGTTTTCTAGACATAAATTCCCATGATCAAAACAAAACTCTGCAATATTACATGCAAGAAAATACTTGAACATTTTTCACAATTCACACAACAATGAGAAGGGACCTCTTGGCCTGTACAGATCGATGAATTAAATATAATCAAAAGATAAAGCAGTATAAATATCAAGGTTCATATTCCATATGTGCACAAATTTCGTAAAATATATTTACCCATCGGGACACTGAGGAGGTCGTTCAGTAAAACAAGGTGTATCCAACCAAGGTTTTCCTGACAAGTGAATTATTGTATAATAAGTTTCAGTTTGGATTAAACAATGGGAAATGATTATGCATGAAAGAGCCCTGCGTTCAATTCCATTATGCTAAATAAGGGTTGGTTTCATAAAGCTTTTAGATCGAAAGTAACAGTACTGATTGCTCTACAACAAAGTACCTGGGGTGGATTGTGTAGTGGGATTGTCGGTCACACTTCCAGTTACTTCAGGTTTGATACTTGTGACCTTTGGGCCAGTTGTAGTCTTATCTCCAGGCTTCTGTGGGTCTGCTGTTGCTTTTATTGGTCCACTGTCATACCAGATGCCATAACCAATGCCTATGCCGACACCGATGCCACACAGGGCTGACACCAGCTTCATTATAAAATACAAATATACATTTTGTAACATGTAAGCATGGAGTGATTGTCATAGACAGCTGTGAGATCCCCTTGTCGATAATAACTCTCTTGTATACTTAAACTGAAGAGTTCAACAGTTTAACCAGTGTGTCCAATCAAATTCATAAGACGTATTCTTGTTTACTTTAATGTACATACATGTATAGGAATTGCTATCTCATTATGAGGACGGGGTAAATTTTAGCTATGTACCGTCGCTTGTTATTTGAATAGCAAATTTAAAGTTTGGTTCTAGTTTGTTGGTCTGTCTGCATGTCACTGATCATGACTGACTACCATGTCATCCCTTCCTGCAGGGAGGGGTGTGCACTTGTCAGCTGCAGACTGACCAATACAAAAACAGTGGTGTTGGGGTCAATTCTGATGCATTTTAAAGGAAATTAGCCATTTCCCATTCATTCTCCTGTTTTCTCATCTTTTTCTGCATTTTTTTCATTTGTTTTTTGTTCTCTCCTCTTTCTTGCTTGCCTGACAATGTCCACAATCGTGTCGCAAGATCATAACATATGCTGCAGGGACTCATGTCTTTCTGTCATCGTGTGCATAAAACACAATGCATACTGTGTCACCGACAGACTGAAAATCCACTCACCACTAAAAAGGCGCACAGTGTGGTGTGTCTATTTTTCTGTGGGGACAAGTTGGAAACAAATCAAATAATATCCAAACTTCCTGCAGTTACACATTGGTAATATAATAAGTCTTAACATCATTTCTAACTATGTTGCACTCCAACTACGGCATCTATCGAAACCATATGCTTGGGATGGTTCCAACTATAGTGCTGCAGTAAGTGGCCTGATAGGCCTATGCAATTGAGCTGTGTCAAGTCCGGCGTGTTTGGAACTCTTTCCACAAGCATGACAAGGCCTATTACATGAACCCCGTTGCACTATAGGAGCAACGAACCAAGGACAAGAGGTCCAATCTTCAGCCCCTCATCCCCCCCCTAAAAAAAAAAACAGGCCTCAAGGCTGAAGGCAGGGTCTGAAGACATGAAACTTAGCCTAAAGATGCCGGTTAAAAAGCAAACAGGTTCATAGCCTGCCACATGCACAGTCCTCCTTACTCTTACCTTTCCAACATCCTCAAAAGTAAGAATCACTTCCTCATTATTCATATCCACTTTCGACTGATTGAAATATAAACAAAAAGAGATTGGCCTTTCATTAAAATCATGAGTAAGAAAAGGACGCATGTAACTTCAACATGAAAGACATGAAAGATGAACTTCTACTTAGACGTATTCCTTGAATGCTTTACTCAAATTAGTAGCATACTTGAGTCAAAGCAATGCACCAGACTAGAGGTTTTCAGGATGCCCACAAATGAATGTTTTCGTCCACCTTGCGCATTACGTTTCACGTAAGATTTGGCCAATGAAATTTCAGTTAACCATAGAGATCCTGCGGCCCTATATCCAGCGCCAAACCGCAATCTCTCTCCGAGTGGTTTGTACCGTCTCAGACGTTCAGGTTGTGGCTGAGAAGGCCGATTAATGCTGAGAGTACCGGTGTGCGGGCACTTTTTCTGGTCATTTGTTCAAAACTCCTTTCCCCTTTTCGGGTCGCACTGCGGATATTTTCTAATGGTGTGTGGTAGAATACTTGGAAGTCATGCCTAGCTCAAGAAAATTGATATTTTAAAAATACCACATATTTTCAATTACTCCATCAGCTTGTACGAATGACAACTGTTGAATTTCATACAATGGAATAGTGAGACATAATGTTAGTTCCCATCGAAAAGAAGGCATAAAGCCAATGACCTCGAATCTTGCAACCTTGTCTCTCCATGAATCGTGTATCATGGACCTTTAGACTGTTTATGTTCCTCTGAAGTCAGAACGGCAGCGAATCAGGAGGGACAAGCCAAAAAAAGTGCAGAACAAAATAAGGCCCATTTACAACATGGCCCATAAACCATTGGATGGAGTCATACGGTTACAGGGATCAGATCTGCAACTCCAGATGCTTGGTACTATTCTCAGGCTCTGACTGTTATTGCTGGCTGGTGATTAAAGGAGCAGAATGGCATTCGATTATTGGTTAGCGAAGTGAGAAAAAGAAAGAAAACAATAGACTAATCAAATAATTTTTCCATCATTGAACGTGAAGGCCAGAACAGTGCCCAAATATTAATTTTCGTGGCAAATATCAGGGTTAGCAAGTGTTATGATATATACAACCCTTAACAGCTTGAAATAAATCGATAAGACGTTTACGGAAGGCGTGTTCAACTATTATCTTTGTCTATTTACCAGGGGTGCTGGATTGAAGGGGCATTTTTTCCCTTTTCTATAGATAAGTCAACTTTATGACTGCGAAAGCCATGCCCGTCAGTACCAAGACAAACACGGAGTGAACCGTTTGGTGTGTCACAATTCGGTCCGTGATCAAACACAGTTTATCACGTGAAGTGGGCCTGGCATATTTATGCAGCAATAGCTCAGGGTTCAGGTCAGGTGTGGGCAAAAATGGGAAATTTCTCATCTTGAAACAAAATATTTTCTTAAAAAATATTTTGAATAGAGAAGGGCAAGTTCTGGTGTTGACTGAGACGTGTTGAATAAAATATTGCCAGGAGGACCAGGGTAATAATATTTGAGATTTTAGAGGGGTTTTTGATCATACCCAGAGTGATAGCGTAAAGTTTAAAAGGGGTGCTGCATGTAGGAACGTGTTTCGGTCTTGAGGCGCCTGCTTTCATTTATAAGACTCGAAGAGGGAAAAAGGACTTTGATGTGAACGAACCTATCGAATCAATCTCCTGACAAGAAATGAACTCGCCCTGAACAAAACTGGAGCATTTTATTTCATATCATATTGCACTTGTGTGCCTGCAGAAAAACAAACATAACTTTCCAGGTGGAGAACACTATTCAACTTACCGGCATAATGTCTGTTTTCCCCTCTGCTCCAGTAGTAATTTTGGCTCACAATTCCAGTTCTTGGTGTCTCTGCTGCACAAGTTGTGATGTACGTTTAGCTTTTGTTATAGGTCCCACTCCAGAGACAGACTTACTGGCAAAGTAACCGGTGGATCAGTGCGTTCTGCCAGAGTCATGTAGGACACTGCAACTTTTGCAAATGACACCACAGAATAGTACTGCCGATAACAGATTTTAAGTTCGTAATGCGTGTAGATATAGCTCCGCAATTGTGACTGACAGGTTGAATAATCTTCTCTTTAAGTATACGATGGTTTAAAATTAACAACTCCACCTCGATACATTACGCATGAAGGCTACACTCATTTGATGACCCTTGTATCATCCACGTACGAGAGATGTAATTGCTAAAAGTACCGGGGAGTAAAGGATATAAGACAGCAATATGTAAATTTTGCGCATGGGCGTTTATGGCATTTCGTCGTTTACTTTATCAGTTTGAATTGCTGATGTGTGCTTGCCCCTCCCTCCCTGGAAATATTTCCCACTGTCGGTGTTCCCACTTCCACCTTGGGAAAAAATGGCGATGTCCGTGCTTTTGCGTGTGGTTCTTATTTCTTTAACACGCGATATATAACCGCATAATGGAACCATTTCAAGTTTAAGGATGCACATACAAAAAAGAGTTTTTGGTTAAAAGCTTTTAATGCATAGGGTAAACGAAAAAATTGATTGCAGTTTTGATATTGTTTGACTTCAACTCGTTTTTACTCTCCGTTGGGTTATGGTACATCTGTTTCGCTGTCAAAAAACTTTCTGCGCTGTATATTTAACACGACTGCTCGCTGAAATCCAAAAATAACGGAGACGGCACTGTAGACTCATGCACGCGGAGGTTCACATAATTCATGAAGTAAAAAGGTCAGAAGTTCCATTGCTTTCGCTGACTTACCTGATATTACAAGGAGTATTTTGGTCCCACGTCCAAATGGCAGTGCAAGCCGTTTGTCAACTCGTCTTAAAGCCTTTCCCTTGGCGGTCTCAGCACTTTTTTCTCTCTTTTGCCTCACGCATGGGACCCACAGCAAACCAGCCACCGTGTGGCGCACTAACCCCCGTACACTACGGCAAACCACACGCAGAAACAGTACTGTGTGCGTATAATTATGTAGAGCAATGCATGCACACATGTGTGCGTGTCATGCGTGGTCTGTCGAGTAGACGGATTGGTCTCAGCGCACGTACGCCAGCACACCTGAGTGCATGTAATGAATACATGTACTTGCGTACAACACGTGAACGGCATGCACGTAAACACAGCGCACGGGCTAGAACTTCGGAGATAGGGAAGCACCGCACGTACGCAGGGGACAGGCCAGATTCGCCCAGAGCCTTGGTCAAGGCTACCCACCCTATTAATGTAATCTCGGTGTAAAGGCTAACAGCCACGACAAAGTTTGCGACAGTTGTACTCGAAATCTCCACGATCACTTGAGAAAATCTAACTTATCGCTTAGACATCACATCCACCAAATCGAGAATAATCTTTAGTGTATACATTTCGACCCAGCTAACTGTATTAATTGGAAGTGGACATCAAACCATAAGTTTTCGTTACAGGTACCTGGTTTGTAAACTGAATACCCGTTTGGAGCTACACAATCACCTACATCTAACTGGAGCATCAAATTTTAATCACAGCTTGATTCTCTGATATTCCCCCAAAACACTCTTTTGCATTATTGTGGCAAATACAGAATGAGTTGAGGAACACACCTGATATCTCTAATTCGATGATTAACATCATGAGCTTTGACGTTAGATACCAATTAGGAAAGCAGCATAGAATGCTTAAGTCACAAGTACATGAACTCAGTCTCTTGGTTTAAAATGCTCTGTCTTTGTACAAAAATCATACAAATTTATCGTTAGTATTCTCACTGTAGATAAACAATTTCTTTACCCCAGTTATCAGTCATAATTAAGATTATCATTATGGATTTAGTGATGCCAAATAAAATAGCAATTACATGTATTACATAATTACTTTTAATCCGCTTAGGTGGTCCAGGGAGATGAATCAAGAAAACAAATCCAGATTATGTATGACCACAAAGTCCCATGAAAGTCTGGTCTCTATCAATAATGCTTAGACAGTCATTTACTGACCATCAGAAGGAGGATAGGATGTAGGTCCCTGTTTGTTTATCGAGTACAAGCCCCTATGGGCTCCTTTCTTCATTTGAAATAAATTCATGCATTTCCATATACATATACATGTATATGGTAAATATGCACTGTCCTTATGCTGGTTTCATTCGTGAAGATGCAGTCTTCATCACATGCAGTCCATATTACAAATACAAAATTCACAAAATCATTTAAGTCAAACATGTTCATGATTGTTCACCCTGATGGAGGGTCTGATTGGTTGAGTATTTTAGAACAAACTTTATGATTGGATGTAACACTGACACAGGTGTTCTGATTGGTTAGACTTGTATCCCCTTGTTGATAAGACTCAAGTATCACAGGTCCTTCCAATTAATTAGAATGTGATGTTCAATTGGCTTATGAACATAATTAGGATATATCAAGCTAACAACAGTCCACTGACAGGCGATACATATTTCACAGCATACTCTGTTCATTTAAAGCAAATTTCCAACGTGTTCAATAGAGTATAGTGTGATGGCTTCATATTTGAAGAGAAAGTCTTCCTGATTAAGTTGCTGGCCTTAATCCTTGGTCCGTACTCAATTGTAACATTCACTGATCAGCCACTGGGGTTATTTGTTATGCTCGTCAGCATTTCCCGTTTTTGAAATATGACCATTTATAAGTAGTTTACATCTCCAGCTTATTATAAAACCAAATAAATTTCACAAAAAAAGGATGCCACAATGCAGCTCTACCACAACATGTCTGGACCTACTATTACATAAACTGTGGCTGGTGTGTGACATTGTGTTTTCTCTTTGAGCCCTTATTTACACATAATGTACGGTACAAATATGGCCATTGATAATGAATGTGCAACCAAAAAATCGAATGGAAACAACATTACCGATATGTGTAACTAATTGGTAAATGGTTTAAAAATTACTTCAAGAAATCTATGATGAATGTTGATAAAAATGAAGGAGAAACAGTCAAGTAAATGAGTCAGTAACTGGCTTTAATACAGCTCTTAAACAGCATTATAAAAATTATTTTCAAGCATGTTGTAAAATACTTTTCATGAAGTAATTCAATCTTTAATCTTTCATTGATTATTAAAATTTATCCCTTTGACTTCTCCAAACAACACTTAAATCATTTTCTAATGACCATATCTAGAATCAGTTAAGTTTAGCAACAAACTGGAAACTATCATCCTGACCTGGTCTGCTGCAATATACATGTACATGTACCAAATCGTTCATGTTCACACATGAGAAATATTCTCATGTCCAATGTTGCTCAAAATTTGATGTCATCTACTGGCAAGTGCTCTTGAACTCATCAAAGATGTAAGCTGGAATATGTGACTCTACACTCTGCAAAAGAACATTGTGAATCACGAAACAAGTCAATGTGCAGTCACCTCAATTCACAGTAAAGCAGGCCTTCAATGGTTTGGATTCTCAGAGACACATACATGATCCACTGGCAACAATTTTTCAGGGTTACTGATCTCGTTAACTACCATTTCCTGCCCTCATGTGTACAGTTAGCCCTTTGTTCATGTTTAAAAATATCATTCCCAAGGACAAAGACACTATTATCCCCTATCTCGATTTAAACCATTATCTGCATAATCCTGTCACTGTGTCCATGTTCTGTAATGCTTCAGATCTGACTTCAAATAGTTAACACAGATTTAATAATTAGACCTTGACAAGATTATTGTTGTCACGCACCTGCCTAGACAATCCAGCAAAGTATGTGAAGTCGTCAAGGAAAGACAGGACATTAACAACCTCAGGTGTTAACTCAGATGCTTTGCCCCTGAAAATTAAACAAATAGGGATAAAAACTACGATGAAATGTTTGTCCAGTGAGATTCTGCGAGGGTAGAATGAAAAATGAGACCACAGTGAGGATACAAGAAGTATTCTGAAACAAATATTTGTTTTAGGTGAACACAGTTGAATCAATTTAAGACATATAGAAGAGTAGACTCGACACTGTTATTAATTCTATTAAAAAAGTTTAAAGTATCTTCACTCCTTCACAGTAATGACAGTAACCATCTTTTTCATGAACAGTAACAGAATTACCCTGCAGCAGTGCTCTCAACAGATGATCTGACATACTGTCCAAGCAATGCCAGGAACTGGTCTGTGGTCTCTGAATGGAACTGTCTCAGAAGAGTCAGGGTACCAACAACAAGTGGGGGACCATCCAGAGGATCTTTGGGAAGCTTACCCACCATACTTCCTGAATAAAAAAAAACAAACAGGGTCCTAGCAAATGATCAAAGCATACTTATTGAAAGCCAGATTGCCTTGCTCCAATCTTCCAGTTTTTTCTCACGGTTTTTCACCTAAAAAGTGGTTTTACTACATTAGATTTTATTGCATTTATGCCCTGGTGAATCCAGAAACCATGAAGTGCTTGGACATTTTTGTACACTACAGTGACTGAAGGGTTAAAGGGGTCGGTAAAATAATTCAGACTTTAAAGCGCAATTATTACTGTCAAGATATCCTGAAACCCAAATAAGATGGCTTCCTTACCAACACTCTTGAGGTACTGAAACTTTGGAAGCTGGGAGACAACAAACAGGAATGTGAAGAGAGAGAAATATGGAAGTCTCTTGGTAGTTACATAGATCTGAATAAACAAGAATTAAAAATAAACAAATGAGATTAGCAGAATTCTTTTTGCAAGGTGTTTTGTGGTACTATTGCAATAGCAAATCGAAGTATGGATACACAGAAGGTAAAGAACTGGCTGGGTTGTTAAGTTCCAGAATTTCATGACACAATATCATGTTTGTAGCTGTACCTTGGAAAGTGGGTTGTTGATTCCAGCTGATTCAAGATATGATGCTAACTCAAACATGAGAGGATTGTCATCCTTTGGGTAGGGTCTAGAGGGATCTTGATAGTGGGCCTCAACATCAGCTAGCAAACCGCTGCAGGGTAAAATAAAAATCAACATGTTTATATATTATTTCAGAAGCAATTTTACTCATCATCTAGAAAATAATTTATTCATCATCTTCATGTCACAGAAGAGCTAAGCTAATCACAATACGTTTTTGCAGCAAACGTTGGTACTGACTTCTTGTGTGGGAAAACTGAAGGGATATTACTAAGTCTGTTTTTTTGGGGGGGGTTGGCAATTCTAACCACAACCATTTTTACTCCCTCTGTCCATAAACTTAAAGTACTAATCATCACTTGTTTGGATATATATTCCAAGACATTTGACATTAGACCTGATAAGCTGAGGAACTTACGAGTTCATGGTTTCCAATGCACCGGCAAGGAACTTTGACTCAAACTTGCAGGCAAAATTGAGTTCATTTGCAATCTGCCTGCGAAGCAACTGCATCTGGCCAAGCTGTGACAAAAATTTTTTTTAAATAATTAAGCAATTACCTACCTGTAGTAACCTACAGTCTTGTCTAATACATGCAATTATTCCTGAATCAGTCTCGGTAAAACCCACACAAACAGGTTTGGACTGAAAACCCAAACCATTTTGAAAAATAAGAGTGATTACCATGGGCTGAAGTTGAAGAACTAGACCACTTTATTCACCTGATTCACTTTCAACACAACGACATTTCAATTTCCCCCAAATTTGGTACATGTTTTAACAATCTAGTAAACAAAAGATGTAATACATTTAGCTTGCCTTGAGAACAAGGTTGACGAATGGTGACCACATCTTGTTTGCTCTGGTGATATAGTGGCTGTACACCTTGTTAGGGTTACCTATGAAAATATATGGGAACAAGGAAAATGGAAAAGTCATATCATAATAGGAGAATTAGCTACATCGTGACGTAAAAGACCACAATTAGTGGACATTCACACGGTAATATATCAGACTTAACAACTATGACATAAATCTTGTACCAAAGGGAAAACATAAGGGATAAGGTAAGTTCAGTGATAATTTGCTAGAGGTTAAGATTCCCAAAAGCACTGCTTGGTATCAAAGTCAAACATCTCTATCAAACTGACTGTGGGGTTGTAAAATGGTTAGAGCACATGGGAAGTAGCTTGAAAGAATTGGTAACTCACTGATGAGTCCTCTGACTGGGTTGAGAGTCTTCATGAGTGAACCAAACATTTCTAGCCAAGCTTTCTCACGAAGGACACCATGCTCGATGTATCCTAGGAATTGTTGAAGTTCCCTGACCATCATGAAGCACATCAGTCGATCCAAACCAGTCAGACCACAGGTACCGATGCTTTGCTAGAAAAGGGAAATGAAAGCATTGCCATCAGAGGAGCTTTCAGTTCAGCCTCAGGAGCTTGCAGCGGGCCACAATAAAAGCAGCGTGACCCTTTTGATCTTCTCTTTGTAAGGTTTACTGAGCATAGCATCCCCATATACATGATCACAAGATAAGTAACATATACACAAACCCTGACTTAAATGTATTCCTTGAACTGCATTGCTAACTTACTCTGACTTTGGAGAAGACTTTGATGTCCAGCACTTCTTGTTTAGTCTTGACATCGTACCAGGTTTTCATCTGGTCAATGTAGGAAGTGGATCTTAATTTATGAAACGGAGAGGACAAAAACACAATAGACATGAGTGACGAATGACTCTTCACATTTGAAGATAACAGATTGGAAACTGATGTATTATCAAAAAGGTATAAAAATGATTGGAAAATCTTTTACCTCCGTCTGAAATGCAAACCTGTGCACAAACACTTAAAGTGGCAAGTAAAATATAAAACTCCAGTACTTGAGAACTGAATACATGATTCTAGAGCTAGGGATGACAACTCAAACAGAAAATGCCTCGGTTGATCAACACCCAAGAAAGATTAGACTCTACTTAATCTATGAAGTCCTTGGACCGGAATGCTGATATCAAACAAAACAATACTATGAAATCAAGAGTAAGTTCAATCTCACCTGGGATCAGTAATTCTGAGAATTTCCCTGACCAACCTCCCCATGAAGTTAATGGAACCGTCCACTGGTTGGAACTTTGGAATTGGGATGGTTGGTGACTGGTATATGCTTTGCCAATCATGGACCTAAAGAGGTCAAACACATTCAATGTCACACTTATTACAAAAATCTGACGACGAAAAAGTTATCATATCTACAAAAAAATTTGAAATCTTATTTTACAAACAACAAAAGAAGACTTCAATTCTTTTCAACAATAGATTTAAAAGCAAGGAGATACTGTCTTTATCTCCGAGTGTTGGGGTAAGAAATGAAGAAGAGAGCTTCAAGAAGGTTTCCAGAAATTTAACCTTAGTCCTCAGGAAGCTGTTGCATTCTTGTTCCATGTTGTAATTGATGATGCGAGACACTTCTTCTTGCCAAATCTTCAAACCATGGATGTTGACATAGTCTTGGATGTACTCAAAAGAGCGAACAAATCCATCCATCTTAGCTCCTAGAGCATCAAGTCGTTGCATCAACTCACTTGTCTACACGTGAAAGTTATACACAAAAAAATGTCATTCAATATCACGGTTGATAAAAATGACATCAAAAAAGGTGTCAACCATCAGGGTTGATTTTTGTCAAACTAAATATATGACCTTACAAATGAGCATTATGCCACCTTAACATCTCTAAGTTAAAGCTCATTACCTTGGCTTTTGGGTTGAACATAATGCCATGATGTAAAGCACTAGCCACTTGCTGTACCAACTCCTTCCTGATTCCATCTTCCAAGAGTTGTTTTGGATCGACCTTAATAATCCCAACCAATGTTGTCTTCATCATTAAGATGCCCTCAGTGAAGACAGAGATAGAGTGAGTAAGTCTGGCCACCTGTAATCAAGAGAAGACATTAGCTGGGAATCAGTGAAGTCTTAATTAAATATCTTCAAGTGATTTGGAGTAGGACAGATTCTTTTTTGGCATTACACGCGAGAAGAAGTTATTTGACCTTAAAACTAAATCAAAGAAGTTTCAAGTGCTTGTACACCTGTTTATAATTGTCACATTATTAGTGCCAGTGGCTACAAGCCATATCAATTCCTTCAAAACTTGGAATAACCTGTACAATTAGTAAGTAGTCTGCTATTCTTGAAAAATGGTGATGCACAAACACGAATCATCACAAGCAATTCAAATCACATGTACTTACATCATATCTCATATCAAGCTGGGCAAAGTCACGCAATTTCTCCTTCTCTAGTCTGGTGGGTACTTCCTTGATGTGATGTGTTTGCAATTGAATGATCTGAGACAGGAGACTAAACATAGTCTGAGGTATAATCTGCAGCACTTTACGGACATAGGCCACAAGCTCACTGGAGTAGTATTGAGAGACACTTATCAGGTCAGGACTGTTGGCTTGATTGATTCGTATCAGAGGCAGATCAAGAGCTGATGCCAGCTGTAACAATTAAAGAAGAATATGAAATGTCAACTTTAAATAAAAGTATAAACAGAAGGGTATCATTATCTCTACACGTTATTCCCTGCATTCTTTCCACATTTACCTTCAGGAATGTTGCTCTCAGTTTGGTAACCAGACCTGGGTTGCTTTTGATGCCCTGCTGCATGTAAGGTGTGTACCTGGAAAAAAAAATAACTGAATCAAACACAAGTGCATAGCCAAGTCTTACATCGACAATTCAAATGTAACCTAAAATTCAAATAAGACAGATTTACCACAATCACAGATACTTACGTATCAATGAGTTCCCAGGCATAAGACAGATCAGCTACAATCTGCATTGTGATGAGCACCTCTTCCTTGATGTTAATGGTTCGAATCATTTGATGAAGGAACTGGCGAGTGTCCAGCAGAAACTGACGAACTTGCAAGTTGCTCTCCAACTGATGAAACTCTTGCACCTACAATGACCACAAAAATGCAAGAATGTGAACCTGGATTAAAAAAATGGAAGGACTGGCTAGCTTTGATCCCCCATTTATTTTAGTTTTACAACCTTCCAGTGACTTGATTTACCTCTTCCAGGGCCTGTATGAGTTGGACAATCTTGCGACCTGCAGCAGTAGAGTCATCGTAGTTGAGTGAGTTTATCTGTTTAGCCATCTCAGCAAACCAAGCCTGAAGGTTCTCTGAATAAACCAATGCAAAATGTTTGAGAAATGTGTGAATTCCTAGCAAATGAAGCCTAACGGTTATCAGAATAGACCAAACTAAGGCCTGTGTAAAAGGAAATGTAAGAATTCTCAGCAACCCAAGCCTGACGGTTATCTAGACAAACCAGACCAAGCCTGAAGGTTATCTGAACAAACCAGACCAAGCCTGAAGGTTATCTGATCAAACCAGACCAAGTCTGAAGGTTATGTGAACAAACCAGACCAAGCGTGAAGGTTCTCTAAACAAATCAAACAAAACATGAAGGCTATTTGAACAAACCAGAGCAAGCCTAAAGGTTATCTGAACAAACCAGACCAAGCCTGAAGGCTATCTGAACAAACCAGACCAAGCCTGCAGGTTATCTGAACAAACCAGACCAAGCCTGAAGGTTATCTGAACAAACCAGACCAAGCCTGAAGGCTATCTGAACAAACCAGACCAAGCCTGCAGGCTATCCGGACAAACCAGACCCAGCCTGAAGGTTATCTGAACAAACCAGACCAAGCCTGCAGGTTATCTGAACAAACCAGACCAAGCCTGCAGGTTATCTGAACAAACCAGACCAAGCCTGCAGGTTATCTGAACAAAGCAAACCAAGCCTGAAGTTCTGTGAACAAGCCACAGCAAAACGTAAGAGATATGTGTGAATTCCTAGCAAACCAAGTCTGGTGATGATCTGGACAAACTTTGCCCGAAAGATACAAGAAATGCTTGAGAACCTAGAAGTCTACAACGTGTCATGTCATGATAAACAATACAGGGAATGAGAAAAAAAGGAATAAACTTGATTTACTGGAAAGTTATTTTATTTTTTTACTTAGAGTGCACTTAATGACATGTTTCAAGATCCACTTCACTGAAAGTACTTTTGTCTCTGTTGTCTCACCATTCTTGGCAACGCGAGTCAATGGTTTGGTTCCTGAGAAGACCTCACCAAGCTCAGTCATTCGATCTACACTCTCTTGTTTGTACAGTTCCCACTTCTTTTGCTTTTCTGACAACATCTTCTTGAACATCTGTAAAGGAAACAGATTTTCTTTTGCATTTGTCGTGGTTTAATTACATGTAGGCAGTTGTTCTTGTACAAAAGAAATTTGCCACAGATGTAGAGAGTTATCATATTGACCTTAACCCGATATAAAAATTCAATGGAGATCAAAAGATTAAATTGACAACAATATTGAAAAAGTTTCTTTAACCACTTGCAGCTGGGGATTCCGGTTTAGGAAACATATTCTTTATATGCGTGGCCGGGTCTCCGAAATTGGACAAAAGGAACTGGGCCTTCTAACAAAAGACTGCACTCGTAACAAAAGACCAGGCTGCTGGGAATTACCAATGTTTTCACTCTCAATAGTAAAGATAATCCAGCCTTGTTTTGAAACAGTGTACAGCAGTTTGGGGCATTCAGCACGAGCGGATTACCACCGGGGACAAAAGCGCTCCACCACTGCAGCAATGAGCCACACAGCACCGCTGCATGCTAATCTGGCCCCCAAAAGAGGTCAGCAGTGCACTGTGCCATTTTCGTGAAAAAAAGAAAATTACGTAACACTGCTCAATCTGGGCTATTTTTACAAGGTGGCCTGGCTGAAATACTCCGGCGTCAATAGATGTTGTCTGTCAGATTAGAGTAGAAACCAAACAGTCCTTTGTGTGGGTGTAAGTGTCCAATGAGTGAAGACATGAATTTTAAAGAATTTTAAAAACATAAAAAAAAGAAACTTATCCCATCCCATCCCAGCATCATCAACATTCATAAATGCCTCCAGCGTGAAGTGGTTAATGGGCATAAAGGTAGTCTACAATTACTTAATGTCTAATATTGTTGGATTTAGCATGAATGAAGTTGAATGAGGACACTGGATTAGATGTTATCTCAAAATAGGGCAAGAGTCTAACCTCCTTGAGTTTGAACTCAAATTGTGCTGAATCCAACAGAAGCTCAAATAAAGTCCGAGGACTAAACTTGGATTCCAAAATCATGGCTTCCTTCATCTGTCTTATCTTCTTGTTACCATCCCAGGCTGAAATATGATCATCAAAATGACAAGATTGTAAAAAGCACTTTGTGTTACATGCTGTAGGATCATGTATTTTATACATACAGAGTTGTACATAAGTATTGTTTAAATACAGAGGAAGTGAAGAACGAGGGACTGAAAAAGTGAAATACAAATGTTCCTCCTTACGCCCATCTGCAGTGTGTAGCATAAGCCAGCGCAGATTGACGTTACATTCTCTTAGACAGTTCATCAGCTTAGGAATGTTGTCCAGGACATATTCCTCTGTAAGTGTTCCTTCTGTCAAATACTGACGTAACAGCTTGATCAACTGGTCAACTTTCTGGTTATGCTTCACGGTCTGTCAGAGAAGATAACATTGAATTCTGAATAATATTTGCCAATGGATTTGGAATGCATAACTACACCTGAAAACATTTTCCAAACTGCACTCTGTTTCTGTTTTGTACAATAAAAGAACTTCAAAGATATTCAAATCCTTTATCTTGTGGGTCTAGGGTTTTCAATTCAAAATCGTTTTACAATTCACATAAAAATATAATTAACATCAACTTCCAAGTCAAAGGACGTGGTCACCCACATTATCATGCTCAAGCAAGAGGGTTTAAAAAGTCCAATTCTGAGCAACTTATAAATTAAATTGTAGAACATAAGATAGAGTAAATTTAATTTATATCTAAGACACACAACAATGAACCAGCTATATTCATTTATCTGAACAACTTACCAAGGTCTTGACATTGGTCAAGTCCAGGGTGTTATTAAGAGCTGTTCGTGCTGCTTTGTATGGTTCCCACATGTCTGCCAGATTGATCACAATTCCCATGTAAATGCTGATCATCTGAGGGGAAAATGATAGGAAAAAAATGCTAATAACAAGAAGTGCAGTACATGTGAAAAATATTAATTTCAAATTTATGAGTTGCAAGACTTAAATATAGTTCATTATTGAATATTAAAATTTAAGTTGAGGCGTAAAAAGCTAAATGGCAACAGTACACAAAGATTTAAATTACACAAAGAAATTGCATAACCTTTGCATGTTGCTCAGGTTATGTTAGCAGCTTTAACTTGTACCAGTTGTAATGTTATTTCACAGCATTTTGACATGTCTGACTACTGTGCCATGTTCATCAATAGCTTCCGTCATCTTACTGATCCTTATTAAATACGCAGATCCTCTAGACAGGATTTTTGTAGCATGACTTACCCAATTATCTGGAAAATGTTTGTCAACAATTTCCCTCATCTTAGCCTGTTGACCGTGCAGTGTGTCTGGAGAGAAGTAGAGACTGATGTATAACATGGCTGCTTGTGTGGCTAACGCTGTGCTTCGGTGCTCTGGTAAGGGATAGGCTGAGATCTGTTGCAGTGTAACACAAGTGACTGTTTATGCCATGAAGTGTAACTTACTCAAGGCAAACAATTCATTAACACTAGACTGTACTTCATCTTCTCATTGAATGACAAGTTGTGACCTAACCATTCAGATTTTACCTGGTTGTATATGTCATCTGAACGTAGCCTGGCAATGACCATCTCAATGAAATGAGGGGGTATCGGAATGCGCCTGTTTAGAAATGACATTTAGAAAGCAAAATAAACATGCATCAATATCTCTTTTAGATTTGTTACAGAACACCCGGCAATATTGAAACCCTGTTTCCCGATTTGTCAAGTAATAATATTAATGCTTGGCACTGATCTCCAAACATGATCGTCATCCCTTACATTAATGATTCCACAAAGTAATATGATGTTTCAACTATAATTTCACAGACAACACTTCAACATGTGGATAATTTGGGTAATGAAAAGACTGTAAGGCTGTGTTACTTGAAGTAGTTCTCTGGGTAGTTAAGAGGTCTTTTTGCTCCTGGAGCTGAATAGAATCCAGTTGATCGCAATAGTTTGCAGACATCGTCCATGTTGGAATCAACAGCAGCCTTGGCAGCACTGAAATTAAGGAATCCAAATGGTTGAGTTGACTCCAAAAACAAAGGACAGAAGAATATACACATCAAACTCATACCACTGTCAATGTCTTCCGAACTTTGAAACTCAAAAGGAAAAAATGTAATTCTGAAGTATTTACACGCCTACAGTAACAGATTTTATACATAAAACATGAACTGTGTGGCCAAAATCCAAGGATCATGACAAGTGGAAAATGTCTGTGGCAAGATGTCGCTGTAATCTAAAGGCTTGGCAACATTGGCCTCGCTCAGTATTTTTGGAAGGGCCTACCTGTATCTGTGATAAGATACCAACATTCGTTCTCTGACTGGGCCATCAATTCTCATATCAACCACAAGCAGCATCACACCGTATAGATACAAGGATTCACACTGAAAAATATAAAGAAAAAATTCTCAAAGATTTAAATTTGATTTTTGACCCTGCTGCAAAAACAGGTTGAACTATTTTTTCCATCATTATGAGCAAGCTCATTATTACCATATATCCATTATGATGCAGTGGTCAAGTATAGAATCCACTACAAACTGTATAGACCTTTTTCCAGTGATGTCACTATCGTGCTGGACGTATGACGTGTTGTAATGGTAATAAGGGCACAGTATTGTCATGGTAATAAGTGCACAGTGTTGTCATGGTAATCTACCTATTCAAGATAAACTAGTCAAGCATGCACTCTTCGCACGTGTGCTTGCACGTGGTTGAAGCTACCCGTAGGAATACATCTGATCACTGTCCAGTCACATGGGTGAAAAAGGTCTATAGTAAGGGGGAAGCAGGATCTGTACCTCTTCAGGTTGATCTGTAATCATTATTTTCACTTGAATAAAGCTCCTCTGATTTCTAACACTGGGCTATTTTTTAACTTTGTTAATTACCAGAAGTTGCTTGCCGTCTTCATTGAGTAGCACAGTCTCTAGTGTTTGCTGAATGTAAACCCCTTCCTCCAAATCTTCAAGAAATCTAGCAAATAAAAGAAAGAAATTAATTACTGTAAAAGTGCTTTTTATAGTCCTAGAACCAATGCGTCAGATGTGTAAACTTGACAATACAGACCATTTGGTACAAAATGTAAGGCATATTGAAAGCATGAATTATGTCCTCCTTCAACATACATTCACCCACGAAAGAACTGACTGATAATACCTCTCCCTTACCGATTGAGATCAGTCACATATTTATGGATACTCTCAAAGGCAAGATAGAAGCGCCGTAAAATGTCAATATGATTTTCCCGGAAGATTTCATCAAGGTCTTGCAGCTCCTGTAACAAAAAATTTTAAAATGCACGATTAGGTGATGTCCTACATGTTACGAATACTGGACATAATGGTCATTCTTGTTTTAAAATTTTTTTTCATATCTTTAACTTGTAAGGTAGAACGTTGCCATACCGAACACTGCTATACTGAGCAGTCGGCTGTACTGAACATCGTCCTTGGCTCCCAATATTTTGTGCACAAAACCTACCAAACATTATGCAGTTGTAAATCAACCAAGATTTGCCACAGCATGCATCAGAGATAGTTCCTGAGCAGCAGCTTCATAACTTATAGGTTAAACTAAATATCAAATCTGTAACTCAAAACTTAATGAAAAACAAAAGTAATAAACAGATACATTTGTAGAAACCTCAAACATGAAAAATGGCAAAACATCACAAAGACAGTGAATCATAGTATCACAAGAGGGTGTGCTTCAGTTAGACAAGAGAGGGCGCTATTCAACATGGCAACGAAACATTTGGCAGTTAATTTCGCTATACCAAACAACTGCTGTGCCAAACATTTAGCGTGGACCCCATTGTGTTCATTATAGCAGTATTCCACTGTACGTAAAGAAGACAAATTTCCTGTATGTCTTTTTAATGCAAGTCATCTCTCTTTCACACAAGAAAATATCTATCATCTATCTACTCTGCCATCGATCAGAATTACTTACAGGCCTGGAATCAATCTTGTTATCGTAGTATTCTGATCCCTTGAAGTAATTGAAATCAAAGAGAATGTCCCCATACTTCATCTGATCAAACTTATTATCAAGCTTGAAGACAGGAGGGATAAAGTCAGCCAAACGAAGTAGCTCAGCAATGATAGCATTGCCACGAGAGACCAACTTGAGTAGAGTTTGTCCACAAAGGTTGTTGTCTGCCAGAAAATCAGCCATGTTGATTCATTGGAAGACCTCCTACAAAGAGTAAGAATGAGTTAGGATTATTACAATACTTAGAAGTTGAGAAAAGAAAATTTATACAAAATGTACATGGAGTTTGCCTGCATCTGTATATCTGGTCACTTACTGTTAAATAGCTAGCACTAAAACAATCCAATATAACTGCTCTATTCATGCTATTCCCACCGCATGGCCGAGTGCTTATTAAGTTTCATCTTGGATGCATCCCCTCCTTCCTCCATGATCCAACCAAAGGTAGGATAAAATCCTGCTTGGCATGGCTGGGCCACAATGCATCATGCTGAAAATTTTTCAGTTGCACAGCTTGCAGTGCCAGCAAAAAGAAAAAGCACCATGTCACACACACAAATCAGAAAGGCATTGACAACTTACAAACTCTCACAAGGTAAAAAGTCGTTCTTCCGGTTTTCAATATGCAGAAACAGGCGAAAGGCAACTCACATGACCGAGTAAGCGTTTTGGCAATGCAATGCAATTCAAAGGCCATGCAATGAATGGTGAGTCCATGTCATGCACGTACATGTACATGGTCTCAATCGTGGCATCATGGCATGGCTATGTCATGGGATGGGGCCTGCGCCTACGTCTAATACTTCAATACGCAGATCTAATGGCGCAAGTTATTCCCAAATTCATCTGTAATCAATGCATGTTAATTTGATGTAGGAACTTACCCAGTTGATAACTTTACTATTGAAAGTTTACTGGCATTTCAGAAAGTACCTCCTTGGAAAAAAATCTAGACACCCACAATAATATGGATCCTAATGAGTTGATTAGTTATAACTGCGTGAATGCAGTCTGGAGATCGGACCAAATCATGTGCTGATGAGAAATTCAGTTATCATCCTCGTTCCCAAATGCTGAAATCCTCACGGGCGACTTGCCATTCTTTCGATTTCTCCCTATCTAATTCGACGATTTTTCATAAACCGTTTATCTCTTTTGGAGGTAAAAAGTCAAGGACTAAGTGACTCTAAACTAATTAGTACAAGTCACATTCTGTTTGCCAAGCTTTCATTCAGGGTTGCCTGGGGACACTTGTAAGTCACCGCGACAACAAACAGTTTTCAATTATTTTACTGGTTTCTTTTGTTATGATAAAGTGTAATTTAAATTAGGGGAGGAGTCCACAAATTGCGCTAGTGGGGCCTAGACGCATTCAAAATTTACCATACATGCGCTTAAATTTGAGACTATTTGAACGCACATATGTACATAAAATGTATGGTTTTTTTTATAAGAATTAACTGCGCCGAGTGTCTGTTGACGTATTGAAGACAGCATGATAGGGAGGGCTGTGCCGAATATTCCACCTATTGTCCAATATTCGAATATTGTTTTTCAAATTTGAACATTCGAATGCAAAAAGGGAAAATTCTCCTTTGTTTTAAATGAAAAACATTACACTATGAAGGCTTGTTTCAAGCAGATTCAAAGAAAAGCTTCAGAAATCTTACAATGGTTAAAAAAGATTATTCATTAATTTAAAAGGAATAGAAATTTTCGGCGACAGGGCTGCAAGTCTTGTCCATTTCTTAAATCTTGCTAAATCGTGGCTGGAGATACTCCTAGATGCGAGAAGCTATTACATTGATCACAACGTACAAATATGCGCATTATTGCAACTGATTTTGTATATGATTTGTTCATCAACAATCTGCCGGTCGGGTACGGCAGAATATTTGGATAGTTGATCAAATTAAAGATCGACCATTCGAATAGTGAATTAGTCAAATGGACTTGGCCCTACAGCATGAGGACCATTTTGGCGGGGCGAGATGAAATTACAGGGCACATATAGTGACTAGTCCCTTAATTATGTGACATAAATAACAGGCATGTTGAATATTACATTAAAAATACAAAGGTTTACATTTGAGTTTATTCATTACTTTACCAGAATGTACTTCTTTGGCTGTAATGTTGTACAAGCATATATGTAAGGCTATATAGGCTAGTGACTTACAGAAAAAAATTGCACTCAAAGATGTGCATTCAAACGAATTCTTAAGTAATACTTTCAGAATATTTTCACAGAAATTTATTTACACCGAGCTTATAAAATAGAGTTGATTTTCATGTTAAAAGTTTAGTGTTGCAGCAAGTGTTTCATAGCCATTTTCAGTTTTTTATCAAAAGGGGGATTCTCTTTATCAGAGCAGAAGAGGGCAAATTCAAGCAGCAAAAATGCTCATGAAACGTTACTGGATAAAAGTACAAATCCCACTACACATTTCCAATAGATGAGTGGTTGTTTTATCTTTAACAAAATAAGTTCTTAAAAACTGTATAATCAAATGGAACAAAGTGAGAGTGAATCTTTCCTTAAGAAATAATTATCTTGCTCATACTTTGCATATACATTGTACTATTTCAGATGAAGTGACCGCATAATCTTTCTGCTTCAAGTTGTTTTCCCCCAACAGCATAATACAGTTTGGCGGACAGATGCTGGGGTCTGTTCTTTTTTTAATACTCAGAAAGTAAATAAAACATGATAAAATTCAAACCTTATTGAAATGTATAAAAAAGTTGTTACATATATGTATAACAATGTCATGTTTAAACAGGTTTTACTCTTCCCCTTCTCTGGTCTTATGAAACTACTCCTGTAATGTTCATGTCTTGTTGAGATCCATGGAGCCTTTCTTCTTCATATTAATGATCTGATTGATGAGTTGTCCAAAGCTGATGTTGATAAAGAGACCCACAAGGATACAGATCCACCATTCCCATACAAGAGGAAAACTGATGTTAACTGTAGCATAGAAAAGAATGTATTACAAATTATGAGCGACCTTCCAAGAACTGATATGTGAGATTTGATAGTGACAAATCATACCAGTCCTGCTCCTAAACTTTCCGTCTTGTTCTTCTGTTTTACCTGCACAAGTTATTGCTGAGTGAACCACAGTAACTGTGATAGAAAAGTCCCACAAACGCTGACGCAAAAATGTCAAGAACACAAATGCTGAGAAGAAGTAGGTACACTCCAAAGCTATGAAATCACCTGAGAAATGAAAACAAAAAGATTTTGGATGAACATATAACTTTACTTACTTCTAAAACATGTTGAGCTTAAATACGGATATGTCTGACATAATTTTTAATGACGCTATGAAATGATTTAAAGAACAAGTATGAAAAAAGCTTACCAAGAAAGGGCTGTGTACTCCATACTGTAGAATTTGTAAAAATGTTTTCAAAGCTCTTGTAATGAAAAGGGATTGTACCATCGAAGTTGCTCAATCTACACGAATAACATTAGATTACATAAACGAATTAGATAATCAAACAAATGATCACTGACAGACGAACTACCCAGAAATAATTATATGTGCTATAGTGATGCCGTAATTAAAACAGTTGCAAGAACTTACTGAAATATCCCATGTACTAGGCTGGCTGTTATGTAGAAAACAGTATAAAACGACAGCAAACTCAAGAACAACCAGAAAACCACAGCCTGAAAAAAGGAATCATTGTATAAATATATTATTATCACAAAAATTGAAGTGAGATGAAAGTTAGTCCCAGTAACTTGGACTCTGTGACTCGACTTTTAAAACCATTTTGACATGGTCCGGCTAGGCCCCCCTACGTCAGAATGTTAAAACTAAGTAAGAGGCATTTTGTAGTACCCAAGGGAAAGATTTATATTAATGGAAAATACTCGATGCCCCTGTGCGCAAACCTACGAGACTTATCTAAAAATAAAAAAGCTAATTATTTTCTGAGTAAATAAATGCTTTGGAATTTGTTTTGCTGAATTTCCTTTTTATTTTTATGGACATGTTATCACTTTCTGATGGCTGTCATAATAATTATGTCCATACATCATGTACAAGGAACTCTTGCCATCTAGTATACATGGTTTAATAATACTAGGCCTACACAATATCAGCAACTGAACAAGTTATGCAGGCAAGATCAATCTTCAGATACTTTTAAGGCCGACTAGGAAGCACCCCCATGGCCCACTCTGCACTAGCTAGATGCATAGATAGAGCATGTGTCC